CCTACCACGAATGCATGCAAGTCAGGCCAGACGGGCTAGCACCAGTTCTATGTGGGACCCTCGAGATGATGAGATTCGGAGGTTGAGAGAAGAGCTAGATGACATTCGAGCTTCCCAAGCGCGTGAATTATTATCGATTAGAGAAGAGATGACCCGACTTTATGGAGGAGTTTTCCCACGAGGAAATGGAGATGGCGGTGGAGATGGAGGAGGGGCGGGATTTACAGGGGCTTGTTGAGTTTTTAATTAGAATTGAAGAACAATATATTAAACTTAAGTTTTATGAATATGTAAGTGAGTTAAATTTGATAGTTATGTTGAATTTTTATAAATATTATTTGAATTTTACTTGTTTATTGGTGATTTGAATATTCTTGGTTGTTTGGTAATCCTTATTTCCAGTAATTGTTGTTGTTTGATGCTGGGATTTCTGAGTTTTGCTATGGAGGGGTGCGAAATTGGAAAAACAGCAGGCTGCAGGTGGTAAGCTGTCAAATTAGCGACGGAATGAGCGACGGAATTTCAGTTCCGTCGCTGTATGGTCAAAATGCATATTCCATCGCTAAATCCGTCGTTAGCTATAGCGACGGAAAGTATCCGTCGTTCGTTCCGTCGCAAATTTCCGTCGCCACATCCGTCGTAGCCTAGAGACGGATAATAAAAATCCGTCGTCACACTCACTACTAACGAAAAAATAGCGACGGAATGGATTCCGTCGTTATTTCCGTCGTGACGAAGATCACCTACGGAAATAAGGCTTTGGCGACGGAATTATTCCGTCGTCATTTCAGCAGTTTTTTGTAGTGATATGCAAGTGGTTAATTTTACCCGACACTCTATCCGTTGTTCTCGGCCCGCCGGAATTTTAACATTGAGAGAATTTGATGAGTCAAAGTACTTAGATGAGTAGTTCCAAAAGTCAAAATTGGACGAATACTCCGAGACGGTGTGAGTACATAATGAAACAAAGATTAACCCTCGCGGATGATATTGACCTTTTTTTATACTCCCTCCGTCTAAAAAAGTTTGTTATGTTTAGAAAAATCTGCGTCCCGTAAAGTCCGTTACATTTCTATTAAAAAACCACTTTTACCCCTTACTTTTTCATACCCTACCTATCACATCATAACTTTTTCCTAATAATCTACCCATCACATCCTACTTTTACCCATCACATCAAGAGTATTTTTGGAAAGTCAATACCAAAATATCTCTCCCTTAATTTCTTAAAAAGTCAAACCGTCCCATTCTTTTTGGGACGGAGGGAGTATATGAAACATGACTTTGTTAGATTAATTACAAATATCTAATTTAAACTCCAACAATCAACGAAAAATATAAATACTTCATCGATTAGAAAAAACCATTCTTATTTTGACTATTAAAGGAAAGATGAGTGTGCATTTTGTGGTTGACGTTTCATTTTTGTCTTTGATGTTTTAGGTAAAGTAAAGTAAAATATGATGAATATATTAATACAAAGCAGTAAATAGATATAATATGATGAGTTAGGTATGATTTCTTACTGGTAAAATAGATTTTTAATAGAAAGTAAAAGTATTTTAAAGAGCTGACGGAGTAAAAAACTTTTGTCTCTTAGGTTTAAGTGTTTCTTACTCCATATTTCCTTATTGAGTATAATTTATTTTGAGATATATTGAAATAGAAAGTGTGTAATTCTTTTATGGGGTGATGCTAGAAATAATAGCAACTTTGGTATCAAGATGATAATCACTTGTAATTTTGTAGATACAAGATTTAATCATCTCTTAGCTCACAGAACTTACAGATTGTTATATTCTGTGTATATACAGATTTATATATAATCGTCATCCTCTCAAAGTTGGTACTCCCACCTCTTATTTTAAGTTGTCTACTGTTATTTACGATATTTGGTTGAAATTATTTTTAAATGAATCATATGAAAGCAAAAATAAAATTAGAAAAAATAAAATTTATATATTTAAAACTGCATCAAAAGTTTTTCAAATTAATAAATGACATGACTACATTATTTTATCACATGAGCAACGAAAAAAGTAATGAAAATTCTTAAAATTTGACTCTTTAAATAATAAAAAAGACAACTTAAATTAGGATGGAAAGTATAGAGTATAATTTTAAAATTTTTGTATTCCGTATTAAATACGGAGTAATAGTATAGTCGGAGGCTTGTGGCATTATTAGGTTTTGTACGGAATAATTCGTCTTTGTAGACCGGATTTTAATAGATTTGGGTGGGTTAGGTTGGGCATAATAATGAATCAGATATGGGCCCATACGAGCGGGTTCCCGTCAGTAGGCGCTTCTTTACAAAATCAATGAATTACAAAGTTTTCTATTTTCAAAATGCTTAGGCAAATTTTTATATACTGAAATATTCGGTATGGTTCAGGATCACGCTGATATGAATTATGAATTTTTAGCATTTAAATTTTGGTATACCCACAATTTCGTTTTGATACACAATACTTTAGTATGCACAATATTTTTCGATACGCCATAATTTTTTGATGCATCGAAATTTCAAGCACGACATCAATATGTGATTTTCATATGCTGAGGTACTGTGTACAAAACGTTGATATATGATACTAAAGCAACTGCTTTAATCATGAATTTTAATAGATTTTCTCACATAAATTTTTTTATATATAAAATAAATAAATTCTCCCTCTGTGCCAAATTAATAATCTGTTTACTATTTACATGGTCAAATTTCATTCACTTTCATTCTCTTTTTTCGGTAGTTATTTGATAAAATGATTTGAAAATAATTTTGATAGTATTTTAATACTTCCTCCGTCCCCCAATATTTGTCCAGTTTTGTAGTTATTTGATAAAATGATTTGAAAATAATTTTGATAGTATTTTAATACTTCCTCCGTCCCCCAATATTTGTCCAGTTTTGACTTTTGGAACTGTTCATCTAAGCAATTTGACTCATCAAATTCTCTAAATGTGTAAGCCTAAATATAGTCATGTGTGATCTTGGTTGATTTGTCTTAGCATATAGATTATTAATATATAATTTCTATAATTTTTTAATATACAAATTACAAGATAAAATGGATTAAAGAAGTATATTGGATGGTGTGCAAAAATGAAAGTGGACAAATACTGAGGGACGGAGAGAATATGTAATTTTTAGTTTTTTAATTCTACACTATCTTTCATATAAAATGATTTGAAATAATTTCTATCAAATACACCGTATTATAAACCAAAACAGAAAATATATATTAGGACAGAGGCCAGAGGGAGTACTTATCTTAACATCATAAAACGCCATATGCAACTATTAAGGTCTATGAAGTTTAGGATAACCGAAGGACATCTCCATTCAATTATACTAAATTCAAACCTAAAATGTACAGGTTAATATATATCAAATCAAATAGTATTTCATCTCTAATCCATTACACTAAACTCAAACTCAAAAGAATATTCACACAATATATCATTTCCTTAATACTCTTTCTTATTTTTGAAAATTAAAAAAAAGTAGGAAGTAAGAATATTACTCCGTGATAAGCTTTTACCAAGAAAATACTCCCTCCGTCCCCCAATTTTTATCCACTTTCATTTTTGCACACCATCTAATGCACTTCTTTAATTCATTTTATTTTGTAATTTGTATATTAAAAAATTATAGAAATTATATATTAATAATCTATATGTTAAGACAAATCAAACAAGATCACACATGACTATATTTAGGTTTACATATTGAGAAAATTTGATGAGTCAAAGTGCTTAGATGAACAGTTCCAAAAGTCAAAACTGGACAAAAACTGGAAGACGGAGGGAGTATAAAATAATTAAAATCAAGTCAAGACCTATGAGCAAACTATAAGAGCTTTTCGGTCTGGTTGACCAGATTATCATTTGGGTATGTTTTTATTTAATTTCGACCTGCTTCATATTGATAATTAATGGGAGATAAAGGGCAAATCCTCAGTTCATTCATTGAACACAATATAAAGTGAGAAAATGTTTTTCTCCACTCCCCACTTAAGGGTTAGGACTTAGGACACATCCATAGCCCATTGCAATTTTCAGATTAAACAGATAAATAGTTGATAATAGGGCACAATTAAAACAGGATTTGCAAAGTAGGACTTTTATTAGCCCATGGCATACTTCTGAGTCCAGCTCCTTGCTGTAGTCTCATATTTGTTCCTGTCTGTCTTGTACATCTGTGCTATCTCGGGCACCAACGGATCATCCGGATTTGGGTCGGTCAAGAGAGAGCAGATTGAAAGCAGCACCTATCATTTTGGAAACAAGTTATTTGGGCAAGGATCTTTTGACCTTGGGTGCCCGGGTCACATATCATGACCGGGGGCACCTACAATGCTCCGTTGGTAAAATTGATGGTTCCCACCCTCCCTAACCCCACCCCAGCACCTCAGAAATGTGTAATGAGAAATGAACCTTGGAAATTGTGAGTGCAGGACTCCACTGCTCCTTCAAGATGTCAAGGCATATGCTCCCATTGCTGTTTATGTTCGGGTGGAAAACCTTTGTCTTGAATGCCACCTGCAGATTTAACAGGTTGAACACGAAAAGAACTTTTTATCTTGTGTTGGTGTCTTTACCTCAAAAAATGCAAAGGAAAATGAAGTTTGGTCATTGTTATTTTCAATAGTTAGTTACACAATCTTTGGATTTCCCTTTCTTTACAATATAAATAGAGAAATAAAATGAGTTTGAACAAATATCAAAAATAAATTCGTTGAGTTTTTAACATTTAAACGATGTCTTATTTTCTCCCACATTTTCTTTCATTCAAATTTCCCCCCACATATTTCTCTCTATTTTCTTTCCCTATCATATTTTTAGTTCCAAACAGACTCTAAAGGGCATAGGATAAAGCTACACCATGTATAAAGCAAGTCAAGTAAACTACTTGAGCATAAAACAAGTCACATTGTGCATTGTATCATGAGCAGCCGTGATTATAGTTTGTTCATCTTAAAAAAATAATCTTAAATGATCACTTGGCAGTGGGTCCAGTTCAATTTTTTTTTAATTGCGTCTGACGGGAACAGAAAGGAACAACAACAGAGGAAAGCACACCTTTGGTGGCTTGAATGGGTAATCAGGTGGGAAATGGATGGTGACCAAGAAAACTCCACCAGTGTAAGGGCTCTCTGGCGGGCCCATGATTGTTGCTTGCCAATGAAACATGTCCTCAGCAACAGGACCTATAATTTAACGCAACGTTAAAATGAGAACAAACTGTTATAGTACAAGTAACAGGTTAAAGTATGGTAATAGAAAACCTAGGATCTAACCCGACGACCCATTACACTCTGCCACACTATTAATATATACAAGTAGTTTATTGATCTTTAGAATAAACGGTAAGCCTTATCAATATAAGTAATAGTTATACTATCTAACAAAAGTTCAAAACACAACAAAAAAACTCAGAAGAGGATCACGAAATTTACTACTCCAGATGGAGAGGTAGGAAGAGAAACTTAGGATGTGTTTGGTTCATTGGAAAGGGTGGGGAGAGGTGGGATTAAAGGGGAGGGAAAGTTTTGGTTCCATATCATAAAAATGTTATAAACCAAATGAAGGCATATGAGCACCTCACTCCCCCTCCCAAATCTTATCCAACCAAACATACCCTTTGTTCAAACTTACAGGACCATACGTACAATATACTTCTACAAATTTCTTATACGCACAAAAGAAATTGCACACAATAACTCTTAACTCAACACCAACAACAAACCCAGTAGAACTCCACGAAAGTAGTGTAACAAATTGATAGAATTTATGATGGGGAAGTTATTGGACTCGGTCATAAACCACCTGGGTTGAACCACATTAAAAGATTGAATTCAATCAATTAGTTAGTTCAACTCAAGAGCTTATATGCCGATTTGTTTTCTCATCAAGTTATGATGTGAGATACTTTAACACTCTCCCTCAAGTGGACAACCGGGTCATTTTGAATCTAACCGGTTGACCACTTGAAAAATGAATTCCAATCCCTTTGATTTTTTTAGCGCCACCACCTAAAGGACCACGAGCCGCTGAGTATGAAGTTCCAGACGAGCGATCAGGTTAAATAGGCTACAAGCAGTTGGGTATACATTCCACACGGACAACTAGGCTGAAGACTAGGGCCACTAAGAATGAACGTCTACACAGATACGTTGAAAGACTTGGTAATTAATCGAACCAAGTCATTTAGTTCCAAAATTCTTCACAAGCTTCACTTCTACTATCAGACCCCTACTTGACACTAGAGAGGTTGTTTCTAAGAGATCCATACTCGAGCACAATAGTTTGAACAAATATACATGTTTGTGGTTATATGCTTGACTTGATTTAATAACCATATGTATACATCATTGCAGCTAATTATGTCAAAAAGGTACAAGCTTCGACATGAGTCCGATAAACCAAAGCTGATCTAATCATACACGATTTTCAAAATCACAGGCAGAAAAAAAGAATCAAATATAAGTAACACATAGCTTTGCCGCAAATCTGCAATTGCATAGCATCAAACACAGATTAATATTTAAGGCTGAAGAAAGATAAGATTTTATTTGATGGTTAAACCTAACAAAGGGTTTCAGATTTACCAGCACTGCAAGAAGTGGGAGGGTCTTTCTGCAGATCCTTGAGCTCCTTCAAGATCCGCTTGGAAGCCATGCCTATCAGTCCAGTAAATCTGAGCTCTAACCTTTCAAGTTTGCTTTTTTATTTCGTCCCAAATTCAAAGCAAAAACAAAGCGTCAATCTTGAAATACCATACTCCGATTCGTTAATCAAAGAAAAGACGGATTAAAGAAAAATCTGAAATTGAACCTGATAGAACAAGGGAATCCGATTCGGACCCTCGGGGGCTGGGGCTGGAAGCTCTGTAATTTCTGCAGTGCAAGGTCGGATTTTTATTTTCAGGAAATCTAAAGGGTGGACTCGAATGCAAGAAGAACCCCACAGATAGATGCGGAGTAAAAAGCTTGATCGCAGAAGGCATGTTTAATTTTTTATAAATTATTTTCGAAATAATTAAATATAAAAAGTAAAACTAATACGGAGTATTCGGTAAAAATCTGAATACAAAAAATTAAAAATAATGATATGACTATATTACTTTATTAAATTATTAATTAAAATATATTTAAAAAAATGTACTCCATAATTTTTGATCATCAAAATAAAAAATGTGATTTTAATTGTGAGATGAAAATATATTTTTAGATTGGGTGAATACTTAAAGGGTAAATTCTATAATTGGTCTTTATAACAAGGGGTTTCCCTATTTAGTCCTCTATTATCAAAAATTATCCTAGTGGTCCTTCTTTTATTGGTACCTTTCCACAAATAGTCTTTTTTTGATCTTCTATCATATTGGTGTTAATTTGAGGGCTAAAAATATAATTTTACAATGATAATATATCTTTTTTGTCATACACAATTCCAAAGGCTGTTCCGTTTGCGTCGTTTGTGAACTATAGTCGCTTTTTACGACAACGATAGTCTACAAATGTGATCTTTCGTCAGAATCCTAGCCCACAATCATAGTCATTATTTTTGTATTATCCGATTAACCAATATCAGAACACGTCATTAGACATAATGTTAATGTCAAATTATACTTTTAGCCTTTAAATTAACATCAACACGGTAGAAGATCAAAAAAAGGACCATTTGTGGAAAGGTACCCTTAAAAAAAGGACTACGGGGGTAATATTTGATAAAAAATGACTAAATATGGAAACTACCATGTTATAAAGGACTAATTATGAAATTTACTCATACCTAAACCCCAATGCAAGAGTAGAATAAGTATTAGAATTTAGAACTTTACTCTTTTTTCACTAATAATTCTATTAAAATGAAATTTGGAATTTACTCTACGCATGAGTCTTATTGAGTGTTTTTTTCTTGTCTAACTTGATTTTATAAAATAAATGGAGTGAATTCTTTTGAAAATGATTATTACAGTCTTTTGATAATTTTATTTTTCATTTTTTATTAATTATTTGGTAAATAAAATATTTTTTTATCTTGTTTTATAAAAATTTTCATATACTCCCTGCCCCTGCATCTCAAGTTAAGTTACATTTTATTATTCACATGATCAAAATTTAAAAACTTTCATTATTTATTTTTTGTACTTTTTTAATAAAATATATAATTATGTCGCCTCATATTTTATAAAACTTTAGATGCAATTTTTAAATATATAAACTTATTTTTTTATATTCACACTAATTTTGATATAGAATGAAATAAAAATTAATTTCAGTCAAACATCATAAACCGAAACAAACAATTTAAATTCGAATAGATGGAATAGATTTTAATTGTGTATGTTTTGTTTTTTATTTTATACTAATTTATAACAAAAATCACATTAAAATTACAGAATTTTACACGTCGTTCAAATAGAAAATATTATTTTAGGACAGATGAAGTTAAATATGGACTTTATTATATCATCTGTTTTCTAAAATTTCACCCCTCCCCCCTCACAGTTTCCAAAACATACACCAATACTCTTTTTAGTCGGCTAACTACCATGTTCTAACAAATTGACTTAGTTATTCTGGGAGATGATATGTTAAATATATGACAAGTACTAAAAGGATGTTATTGTCTATCTTATTTCAAAAACACGAAACAACATTTTTATTCGCACGCCAAACGTGTTTGTTTGTTACATACGCTATTTAGGTACAGAGCTTTATTAGACAAAATATGCATTATTGTAAAGCTCTAAAACCAGAAGTAGGACCAAAGTACTTCATAAGTTTTTAAATAAAAATGCACATTGAATAAAGTACAAATGTATTGGTGCACTACCCTTAAACTATCCACAATGTGAGGTGAGGTTCAGGGATTCTTTGACAATATAATGATTGCAACGTCATCCTCTTAACAACCAAGTGAAATCTATATTGTAGAATGCAGCAATTATTATTGTGGTTATCTTTGGAAAAAAAGAGAAATAAATAGTGCAATGAAAAATGGACTGCAGAATTCAAAGGAGATAAACTTAGACGTTCATAAAAAAAAAGATGGCTCCATGCGTCTTTGTTACCGTCATATATTCACGCTACATTCCAGCATTGCAAGATTGTGTACACGTGACACGCGCTAAGTTGCCACTACTTTCCGCTCATTTCTGCGTACGATCCGAATATTAGGATCCCTCTCTCCCGCTGTCACTTTTCATTTCTCTTTCTACTTATATTATTTTTTTATTTAATTTCAGAATTTCTAAACCCCCATTGATTCACTTGTAGATTCTAGTCATTCTTGAATACCCGATTCGATTATCTTTCATATCATAAAGGGTGTGTTTGGTTGGGTGGGAGTGGGAGGGAGGAGAAGAGAATGATGGGAGTGAATTGCAAGGGATATTAATAATAACAATAAGAGCAATGCTAGGGGTACACCAAATGTACACCACTCTCTTTTCATCCACATATTTTTATTTGATTTTTATTTACTTATTTTTTTGAATTTTTTTGCCTTTTTTAGTGGACAAAGAGGGGGTGGGGGACATTTGGGGTACACCTTTGGTATACCCAAGGTGTACCCCTAGCATTTTTCTAACAATAATTATGGAGTGTTATTATTTGAATTAGTTATTGAGATTTGATTCAAATTTGGATATAGCCCTTAATCCGCCCCTTATTAAAGTTTCGATATACGGAGTAACATTTCTCCCTTAACGGCATCGAACCCTCTTTCCAGCCTTTTACGCCACCGCTCATGTCGATGCACGGATCGGGTCGGGGGGTCCAAGTAGAACCAGATGAAACCGGCGAGCTCCGAGACGGCGATGAAACCGCTACGGGGGGAAACAACGAAGAGGAAGGAAGGCGAGACCCCGCTTCTCTTGCCGATAGCCCCGGCGACCATCTGGGCGTCCGTTCTCGTCCGTACCTCATGAAGATTCTCGAAAAGCAAGGTAATTTTCTCAGAGCTTCTAACAATTGAATGCTGACACTGTAAAACAAACCGTGTTCTTAGATCGGAAGAAGCTTGCACAATCCCCCCCCCCCCCCAGTTTTGTAATGGTTGGATAGGTTGAACCCAGTTATTTTGATTAATTGCTAAGAACTCGAGTTGTGGAATCGAAAGCAAAGCAATGATCGATTAATGGACGCATATCGCTGTTCCTTTTTAGCTCTACTTAAGTAGCTGGATATATGATCGTCTTTGTGAGGAATCAACCGATCTCCAGCGGCAGGAAATGGGAATTAAATCAATAGGACATCATTTGAGTTAAATAGGACATCTTCGGCACTTCAAGATCTCTGAAATTTATTTGCAGATTCTTATCTTCCAGCATCATCCTAGGTTATAAGATTTTACAGTTGGTGTAATGGAGTGCTAGATTTTGACTGACCTCATTACCCAGGTTTTAAAAGCTAGACATATGATTAGGAAAATTTCTTTTTGATTCCTAAGACCCATGTCGGTTGAATGAATTTATAATTCGTTAGGAACGAAGTAATTAAGAGCAATACTTTTATGGGCACATATCTCTTTTTATGTTTTATACCTTTGATGAAAAAAATCTAATCAGTATTACGAATATGATATCTTTTGCAGGGGACAGAAACTTGGTCTTTGCCGATAAGGTTCTTAAACTCACAGCTTCAGGGAAGATGAAACGCCGAATTCTTCTAATCACTGATTTTGCAATATACTTTGTGGACCCAGAAACGGATGTTCTCAAGAGGCGGGTAACCCTGGCAGCCGTAGAAAAGCTCTGCTTGAGCAAACTAAATGATCACTTCTTTGCAATTATTATCCCGAGTGAGTATGATGTGCTTCTGGCAAGCACAAGAAAGACTGAAATTGTAACATGCATAGTGGATACTACCAAGAGTGCGTCTAACTATGAACTTGAGGTCGTTCACTCAAATAGGTAATAAATAAATAAATTTTGTAGCGTGCTTATCGTGGTGATTTTAGTGCTCAATTTATTCTTCCTAATTTCATTTGTTTTATGAGTATTTTTGAGTTGCTTTTTTTGTAGGTTTGAGTATAATGCAACTGCTGAGCAAGTCAAAGAAGTGACATTTGAGGAAATTGAAGGTTGGTGACACTATTTATCAAGCAACACTTTCACAACAATTATATGTCTGGAATGGTTTATAAATTATGAGGCTTTTTGGACCAGGTCGCATTAAAACACGAATAGTACAGAATGGGGCTCAGAATTGAACATGAGATTGCAATTACAAACGGAATGTTTTCTTGGGATGCCCCATGGATCATAGAATGATACCCCGTGTAAATGGAGATTGATTCTTTCATCAGTCGAGCGTATTCCCTGCTTCTTTCATGGTACTTGTATGGAATTTAGTACTTTAGAGCTTCTTGCCCATCGTGTTGATAATACTTGTGTATCTTTCAGCAATAACCCTATTACTCCACAAGAATAACACTTTTTTGTCGGTGTGGCCACAATATATAGATGCTTATGGTTTTCTTTTCAAGCATTATTTTGCAGCTTAAGTAATTCAACATTACCCTATTTCTATCATATGTGAATATATTAAAACAAGTGGTTGGACTCACCATTTTCACTTTTATCTCTATTTCTCTCTTTTTTTCATCAAGGAAAGACAGATTTCAATATAGAGGAGCCAAACGACACTTACAAAATATGGAGTAAAAAACACGCATCAAACATAGCATGATAAGAAACTCCGACCTTAAACATCGTGAACTAATTTCTCCAATGTTTCTCTCCCTATCATTTTCTTCTTACCTATTTCAACCCAACCAAACAAAGCTTTTAAGAAAAATCTTAGATTACATCTAAATTGGTGTAAATGCGAAGAAGTTCCTGTGTTAGCCAAGGGAGTTGTCAAATTTGGTGTTGAACCTCCCCAGTGGATGGCTGATTTCTAATGCCCTCTACCATCTTCACTACATCTGCCATTTTTGGCCTCTGCTCTGGCATTCTTGCTGCACAGGCCATCCCTACCTGTAGCATCTCTACCATTTCTTCCTCTATGTTAGGATACTTCAAAAGCTCCACATCAAATACTTCACCACTCCATTCTTCACTAACAACAGAGCACACCCATCTCACCAAATCGTCAACCTCATCCCCACCTGCAGAATGCATAGGGGATTTCCCGGTGAGGAGTTCAAACAGAAGAACACCAAAGCTGTAGACATCAGATGCCTGAGTCATTTTCCTCGTGTCCAAAAATTCTGGGGCCCGATATCCTGTGGTTCTTGCGAGGGTTGGAGCCACTGAACTTACCAGTGTTGCCAAGCCAAAGTCAGACACACAACCGTATTGTCTGGAGTTCAGGAAAACATTTGATGATTTGATGTTCCCATGGACACGATTTGCTCCATGAATATAGGCGATACCTCTCGCTGCACCGGTAGCAATTCTGACTCGTGTTTCCCAATCTAATGGGAACTGGTTTTCGCCCCTGTTAGCTGCAGTTTATATAGGTAATCTTACTATGTGAGAAAAAGATCTTCTATATGAACTCTACTACAATGTGACCATTCTATCATACTGGATGTTGAATATGGCACAGGTACTAAACATACCATGTAGCATTGCAGAGACACTCCCTTGGCTGTAGTAATCTTGGACCGTGAGCTTTTCGTCCTCGGAGTAGTAGTATGCCTTCAAAGGAGCCACATTCTCATGCCGGATGCTTCCAGAAACTTCCATCTGCAGGTGGAATTCCTCTCTCCCGACGCAAACATCATTCAGTCTTTTCACTACAACTGTGCCTGCGCCGCCCTCTAGAGCTGCCTTATATGTAGTCCCAGACGTTCCCTTACCAAGAACCTCTGCAGAAGCTCTCAACAAGCCTTCCATGTCAAATCCAAGATCACAGCCTCCAATGGATACAAGGTAGTGGTCGCTGTTTCGGTTATGGCCTTTCTCATCTTTTTTCTTCGAATGACAGCAGAAAATCCATGGCAGAACTACGGCTGCTGCCAGAACCCCTAATGCACAACTTCCAACCACAATTCCCAACACAACTTCTTTCGTGTGGTTGTTTTCCGGTGAAGGGGCCACCGAATTCGAAGGTGAAGATATATGGGGAGAAAGATGTTCATTGTCTGTAGCAGCTCTCCCCGAGCAGAGAATAGCTGCAGCACACAAAACTGCCGACAATGTGTCTCTTTGTCTCTTCATCGTCTCTGCACGAGTAGATACAACTACTGCATTGTTTTACTGTTCTTATAACACTGTTACAGATTGCTTGAAGAAGAAGAAGAAGAAGAAATGATCAGAGGTGGCATGGCTGTATTAAATAAATTTGTTCTTGGAAGTGCTTTGAAGAAGAAAGAAAAGTGAAAAAAGAGCAAGATGATGCACGTTCAGACATTGCTGAACTGCTACGCAGAGGAAAAGGAAGAAGCAACCATAATCATTGCTACTTTTGCCTTTGTTTACCGTTTAGGATAGTAAATTAAGCAAGAAACAATTTTTTCTCCCCTACGGGTAGCTCAACTCTCCAAGGAGAGAATGTCAAGCCCATTGATCCTAGAAACGACTTCCGGCGGCTGCAGGGAGTTCTACTATTTGTAATTGCTCCTTGTGCGCATCGGGTACGAGGCAGCCTCTCTAAAGATCAGGTTGAAATTATACCATGATTTATTCCCTCACAATCCTATCCGGCAGGAGTGTGGGGCGCCTTGGGTGGGAGTCCACCACTTTCAATTTCTACTTCTGAGCAAGAGTAAAGTTAGCATTAACATTTTCAAAGTTAATCTAAATTATTTAAAAATTATTCAAAATGGTACCCTTAGACCTTAGTTGAATATATTGTTCCCAAAAGAGATATATGGTATAGAAACATCTATAAACTTTACATTTGAACCCAATTGTGTTATGATGACTTGTTCTAACCTTTTGTCGCTTGATGTCTTCTTGATTGCATTATTTTTTTTTCAGGAGTATGTTATTGTACAAAACCTTCAAAAATCTTTAAAACAAAGGTTGATTTGTTGTTGTCTAAAGTACTAACATGTAAATTCTTTTATGTACCACGAGTAAGTAATACGGAGTAATTTATAATAGAGATGCACATTTGTTTTTTATTAATTTGTTTATGTGTGAAGTTTATGATGAATATTAAGTACTTCCTCCGTCCCAAAAAGATTTACACCTTTCAAAAAAATTGTCCCACAATCTCCTATCCATTTCTATTAAAAAACCACTTTTACCTCTTACTTTTTCAAACTCTACCTATCACATCATACCTTTTTCATAATAATCTACACATCACATCCTATTTTTACCCATCACATCAAGGGTATTTTTGGAAAGTCAACACAAAATTATCCCTCCCTTAATTTCTACTTTAGTCAAAATGGGTAACACTTTATGGGACGAAGGGAGTATATGATAGAAACACCCGTCTTAATAATATATCAACAACAATACTTTTTTGAAAAATGTTAGGGGTATACTAAATGTGTACCCCATTTAACCCCCACCCCCTCCTTATCCACAAAAAAAGGGTAAGAAATTCAAAAAAAAAAAAATAAAAATAAAATAAAAATGGGTGGTGGAGAAGGAAGTGATGTACATTTATTACTCTACTTTTTTCCTTCTCTAATGCTATCGGTAGTGCTTAGTCACCATTCACTCCAAAACAACAGTCACGCAGCGCATCATCAATGCTGACTGTGCTCATCAATCTACTCACTTCATACTCGTAGTGTCTCACATCTACTGTAATGATTATACTATTATTTTTTATTTAACATTTACCTATTTCTATTCAAATTAAATTCTATCTTTTACACAATAATAAAAATTATTTTATAATGTTTTTTATTTTAATTATTTATTTCAGGTTTTTAATTTTTTCATTCAGGATTATTAATTTTTATTTTCCCATTTTTTATTTTTTTAATATTTTAACAATTAAATTTAAAAAGCATAAACTACATTCATTACAAAAAACGCACACAATTACATTACTTAAAATAAGAAAAATACCCTACATGATAACAAAAAAGGAAAAAATGATGATGACATAATCTAATACTCCCTCCGTCTCCAATTTGATTACAAATTGCGGGTTACAGATTAAAATTTCCTACTTTTTGAAATCATTTTATTTACAAATTGATATATCAATAAGATATAAAAGTTACATATTAAAAAATTACGTCAAAAGTTCTACAAAACAAGAGGTGACAAGAATATTTTATTTTATCAAATACTTAATGAAATCGCGTAAACAAATAAAAGTTATCGAGAGGAGAGAGAAAAAAATTGTAATCTATTTAGGGACGGAGGGAGTAGAGGTGGCAATCGGATCAACCGGATTGGTTTCGGATTGGATTTTTTTGGTTCGGATATCTTTCGGTTATATGTTATAATCGGTTCAGTTCGGTTCGGATCGGTTAAATTTCGGTTCGGATTTGATTTCGGTTCTATACATTTTTCGGTTCGGTTCGGTTTCGAGTCGGTTCAGATACGGTTCGGTTATAAATCGGTTCGGATAGATTTCTGTTCGGATACAATTTGAGTCGAATATATTTCGGTTTTGGGTCTAGTTCGGTTCGGATATATTTCGGTTTCGGATCAAATATATTTTGGATATATATTATTTTCTAATTAAAATTTAACTATCCGTGTTTCTTTTTATGTTTTATCACATTTATCAATCTATCATCAATTCAATACCTCATACTCCCTCCGTTTGCAAAAAACTTTCTATTTTGATTTGGATCAAAAATAAGGAAGTGTTAAATTATAGTTGATTTCCAATTTTGTCCTTGATGTGATGGGTAAAAGTAAGATGTGATGGATACATTATTAGAGAAAAAGTATGATGTGATAGGTAGTGTATGAAAAAGTAAGGGTAAAAGTGGGTTTTTAATAGAAAGTGGAAGTGTTTTGTTGGAAGTGGAAAAAATGAAAGATGAAGTGTTTTTTAGAACGGAGGGAGTATTATTTTATATTTTTTTCTAGTTATATTATCTCTACCCTAAATAGTCTTCCCTTTTTGACTTTTTAGTTATATTTTACAAATTTGGACTACAAATTATGAAAACATATATATTTAATTATGATATAAATTTAATATAATTAAATTGATTTTAGAATTTAGTTTTGAAATATCAAATTTTTTCTCACATCTACTAATATACTTATGTATATAAATGAAAGGATAAAAGATAAATTCAAATAGTCTTATGTTCCATTTGAATACAATTTGGTAAAAATTGAGTAAAATTGGGTGAAATTAAGTGAATTTTATTCAATTGAGTGCAAAATTTGTAAATTATTGAGTATATTTGGTTGAAAATAGAGAAAATTAAATTTAATAGAGTCAAATATAATTAATTTTACANACACTTCACTATTTAAAAATTACGGAAATTTTATTTGTTTGTGTGTTATCATTTATATGTATAACTTATCTTTAATTTCTACATATAATAAATTTAAGGAATAAAATTTTGTAATTTTTTTCAAGAAGATAATTTATTTTATGAGGAAATGAGCAAGTAATGTAATTAGTTCAAATGGTAAAATAAAAGTAAAAATTTCAAAATATAATATGCTTATTGAAAGGCAAACATAGTTCTGAATTTATCGATTTTAGTTCTAATCGGGTTCGGATATTATCGGTTTTAGATCTAATTGGTTTCGGGTATTATCGGGTTCGGATCTAATCGGTTTCGGGTTAAATCGGTTCGGATATTATCGATTTCGGATCTAATCGGTTTCGGATTTAAATCGGATATGAATTATTTAGTTCGGTTTCGGTTCGATTCGGATCATTTCGGGTTTTCAGTTATAGATCGGATCTTCATTTTTCGGGTCATTCCGGTTTCGGTTTCGGATATTTCGGTTCGGGTAATCGGTTCTGGTTCTGTTTTGCCAGGTCTAGGAGGGAGTATATCCATAAATAGCACTTAATAATATCCAGGAGGAATAATGTCCAGTGATGGCGAACATTTACTTAAATAATGACTAATATATAACGACGACTAAAAGTGCTATATTGGAAAAAAACACATATACTGCTATTAAAGAAAAAGTTATTATATTTTAGTGTTATTTAGTAAATTTCCTTTGTCTTATACTCCGGAGTACTACTTATTCATTACTTCTTGGGTTAGTATTATAACAAAATCTTTATCAGTAATATATTCGAGGCTTCATATAATCTACCGAATATACTACGGAGTATATAACTTTGAGGATTGGTCTTGCATTCATTCCTTCTTGGGGAGTATTCGTGTGATTATTCCCATTTTAAATTACAAACTTGGTATCTTCCCCTAACACATGCTATGCGCCTAACCCCTAACCAATTCAACCTTCTTAATCTGATCCAGCTATATACACACACATATCTATTCCCATTGTTCATCCACTTCAAACAATAAAAAAAAAGTTACATTCTGGGTTAATAGGAGTGAATAGGAAAGAAGAGAGAAATATATGTATTCCGGCCATGAAAGGAGCGGAGCAAAACAACGGCGGCGGCCACCACCACGACGGCCGCCTACGTGTGGTGATGCTTCCATGGCTAGGCTTTGGCCATGTCTCACCTTTCTTGGAATTGGGCAAGAAGTTGAGCTTGAGAAATTTTGAGATTTACATATGTTCCACCCCTGCAACCCTTGAGCCGGTGAAGAAGAAGCTTGCTGCCGCCGCCTCCGTGAGCTTTCTCGAGCTCACGCTCCCGTCGTCTCCCGAGCTTCCGCCGCAAAACCACACCACCAACAGCCTCCCCCCGCACCTCATGCCCCATCTCAAGGAGGCGTTCGAAGCCTCGCGTCCCGCCTTTGCGCAACTCCTCCGCGATATCAAACCCGACCTCCTCATCTACGATTTCCTCTCGCCGTGGGCCCCACAGGAGGCGGCGGGGCTCGGGATCCCCGCGATCCAGTTCATCACCATGAGCTCCACCTTCACTTGCTTCAAGTTCCAACAGTTCAGTCAGCCGGGCGTCGAGTTCCCGTTCCCCGCCATCCGGTACCGAGACTATGAGCTCGCTAGGATGGCCAAGGCAAACGCGTCGACCCCTCCGGAGAGACGCGAGAAAGACGAGAGGAGTGTGCGCGACTGCTTTTCGCGCTCTTGCGGTCTCGTCTTGATCAAGACCTATGATGAGATCGAAGGTCAATATAGTAATTTTCTCACCACTTTGACCGGAAAGAGGATTGTCCCGGTTGGGGCATTGGTCCAAGAACCTAGTAAAGAAGATGGGGAATCCGAGGTGATCAAGTGGCTCAATGGGAAAAAGGAGAAGTCCACGGTATTCGTTTCCTTCGGAAGCGAGTACTTCTTGACCGAAGAAGACTTGACAGAGATCGCTCATGGTCTCTACCTCAGCTACCCTGTTAACTTTGTCTGGGTTTTAAGGTTTCCCAAAGGAGGAAACCATGACGATCTCAAACTTGTCTTGCCAGACGGGTTCTTAGAAAGGGTTGAGGGTTGGGGTTTGGTCGTCGAGGGTTGGGCCCCACAAGCAAAGATCTTGGAGCACCCGAGCATCGGAGGGTTTGTGAGCCACTGCGGGTGGAGCTCGGTCATGGAGGGCATGAAATACGGGGTCCCGATCATTGCCATGCCCATGCACATCGACCAGCCCGTGAATGCCAAGCTGGCAGCCGAGGTAGGGGTGGCGATGGAAGTTGTCAGGGACAGCAGTGGAAAGCACCACCGCTGTGAAATAGCGGCGGTGATCAGAAAGGTGGTTCGGGGGGAGGGTGGAAAAGGCGTGAGGGCAAAAGCGGCGGCAATGCGTGAGATGCTGGCGGAGAAAGGCGACATAGAGATCGATAAGGTGGCTGAGGAGTTGAGGAAGCTTTGTGCCCAGAACCTTTGCAGAAGGTCTCAAAAAGTCTTCCATGTCAAATCCAAGATCACAGCAGCCACCAATGGCTACAAGGTGGTGCTCGCTGTTTCGGTCATGGCTTTTCTCATCTTTTTTCTTGGAAAGACGGTAAAAAATGCATGGCAGAACTAATAGGACTGCTGCCAGGACCCTTAATGTGTAACTTCCAACCACAATTCCCAACAAAACATCGTAGATACTATACTTGCTCGGTGGAAATTCAATACTATGTATAGTATGTTTAAGTTTAAAAAAAGTAAGATTATATGTTTAATATATTATTAAGAGAGAAATAATACGAAAATATTACTATATCTGATAAAATTATGAAACATATAATTGCTAGTGGGCGTAGTTGACAAAGATAAAGAGTGCCTAAGGAGTAAGACTCGAGTTTGATTATTGGAAAGCTGTGACAAATTCAAAAACATGATTCTATAGTCCATGTTTTTTTACTCCCTATTACATACTGCCTTTATCCAGGAGTAGGCATAAACGTCGATAATGAGAAACCCACTAGATGCTTGAATGCTGTTCTACAGAAACCAACTTCTGGCCCAAATTTATTAAAAAGAGAAGACACTCTTGCAGCATTTTTCAATAAATTTGAGAGTTTAAACGAGGTTTTCCAAATAAATAGCTTGCCTCTCCTTGTATCCTTTTTTATATTTTTAATGTTTTTATTATACTCTGCGATGATCTTTTGTCAAGTTTTGATTTACGTACACAAAGTTATGAAAAATAGTCATTGTAGTTGAATAATAAATGAGAGGAAAGAAGTTTTAAAAAATTAGCTAGGTTGCCATGTATAGTATGTTTAAGTTTAAAAAAGTAAGATTATAAGATTAATATATTTTTAAGAGAGAAATATTAGGAAAATATTAATCATATATTAATAACTGTTCCCTCAAAAATGATCATTCTATTTTGAGACGTCAAAAAAATAAAAAATTTAATTCTCAGTGGGTGAGGAATAAGGAAAAAATACAAAAATACCAATAACTATAGAATGACTTTCGCTAAACACAAGTTAAGATCAGATGATTAATCTACGGAACTTATATATTCCCCAACAAAAAAAGCTATGGAATGTATCACTTTTTCGTAAATAAGACAAGTCATATCTACTCTAACATTTGACAATAGAAAGTTCTAAAATGTCATACATTTAAGAAAAAAATGATCTATTACACAATTCAAACGGAATGATGAGACATTATTAAAAACAATTTGAAAAGTCATTGAAACAATCAACTATAATCCAACACTTGTTACTAATGACCACATTAGACATATATGACAGGTCATATGGAATAATATATCATAAATAGAATAAACCATATTTGGTCAGAATGTATTATATTTTAGTTCTATATAGAGTAAATTTTTCATATATCTTTGGGGATTGTCGTCTTATATTCATTCAGGCCGAAAAATGAAATTGGTCCGATCTGAAAATTACATTTTGAAACATATTTTTTTATTTTAGAATATTTACACTTCAAAATTAATGATGAGTCTTAAAATATGAGGCCTTAAAATTTTAGGATACCCTTACCCACTTTGGAGGGCCACCCATGTATTCATTCCTTCTTGGGTTAGTATAATATAACAAAATCTTTATCAGTAAAATATTACAGACTTCATATAATCTACAGAATATATATAGCTTTGGGGATTATTGGTCTTATGATTATTTCTTCTTAGGGAGTATTCGTGTGATTATTGCCATTTTATATTAAAAACTGCTGATCTTCACCTAACACAAGCTCTGCGCATAACCCCTAACCAATTCAACCTTCTTCATCTGATCTATATATATACACACATATCTATTCCAATTGTTCATCCATCCCCTTCAAACAATAAAAAAAAGTTACATTCTGGGTTAAAGGAGTGAATTGGAAAGAAGAGAAAAATAAATGTATTCCATAAAAGGAACGGAGCGAAACAACGGCAGCGGCCACCACCACGACGGCCGCCTACGTGTGGTGATGCTTCCATGGCTAGGCTTTGGCCATGTCTCACCTTTCTTGGAATTGGGCAAGAAGTTGAGCTTGAGAAATTTTGAGATTTACATATGTTCCACCCCTGCAACCCTTGAGCCGGTGAAGAAGAAGCTTGCTGCCGCCGCCGCCGGGGACGCCGCCTTCGTGAGCTTCCTCGAGCTCACGCTCCGGCCGTCTCCCGATCTTCCACCGCAAAACCACACGACCAACGGCCTCCCCTCGCACCTCATGCCCCTTCTCAAGGAGGCGTTTGACGCCTCGCGTCCCACCTTTGCGCAGCTCCTCCGCGACATCAAACCCGACCTCCTCGTGTACGATTTCCTCCAGCCGTGGGCCTTACAAGAGGCGGCGGAGCTCGGCATCCCCGCGGTTGAGTTCATCACCATGAGCTCCACCTTCAGTTGCTTCATTTTCCAACAGTTGTATCAGCCAGGCGTCGAGTTCCCGTTCCCCGCCATCCGGTACCGAGACTATGAGCTCGCGAAGATAGCCAAGGAGAACGCGTCGACCCCTCCTGAGAGGCGCAAGAAAGACGAGAGCGGCGCGCGCGATTGCTTTGAGCGCTCTTGCTGTCTCGTCTTGATCAAGACCTTCGATGAGATCGAAGGTCAGTATAGTAATTTCACCACCACTTTGACCGGAAAGAGAATTTTCCCGGTCGGGGCGTTGGTTCAAGAACCTAGTAAAGAAGATGGGGAATCCGAGGTGATCAAGTGGCTCAATGGGAAAAAGGAGAAATCCACGGTATTCGTTTCCTTCGGAAGCGAGTACTTCTTGACCAAAGAAGACTTGACTGAGATTGCTCATGGTCTCTCCCTCAGCAACCTTAACTTCGTATGGGTTTTAAGGCTTCCAAAAGGAGAAGACCATGACGATCTCAAACAAGTTTTGCCAGAAGGGTTTCTAGAAAGGGTCGGGGATAGGGGTTTGGTCATCAATGGTTGGGCCCCACAAGCGAAGATCTTGGAGCACCCGAGCATCGGAGGGTTTGTGAGCCACTGCGGGTGGAGCTCGGTCATGGAGGGCATGAAATACGGGGTCCCTATCATTGCCATGCCCATGCACATCGACCAGCCCGTGAATGCCAAGTTGGCAGCCGAGGTAGGGGTGGCGATGGAAGTTGTCAGGGACAGCAGTGGAAAGCACCACCGCCGTAAAATAGCGGCGGTGATCAAAACGGTGGTTCAGTTGGAGGGTGGAAAAGGCGTGAGGGCAAAAGCGGCAGCAATGCGTGAGATGCTGGCGGAGAAAGGCGATAAAGAGATCGATAAGGTGGCTGAGGAGTTGAGGAAGCTTTGTACCAAGAACCTTTACAGAAGGTCTAAAAAAGTCTTCCATATCAAATCCAAGATCACATCAGCCACCAATGGATACAAGGTGGTGCTCGCTGTTTTGGTCATGGCTTTTCTCATCTTTTTTCTTCAAAAGACTGTAGAAAATCCATGGCAGAACTAAAACTAGCTGCTGCCACAACCCTTTATGTGTAACTTCCAACCAATATTCCCAACAAAACATCTTTTGTGGCACTCTCATGACGGATCAAAGACACCCCTCCGTGAGGCATTACGCACAGCCAAACGTAGATGCTATACTTGCTGGCTGGAAATTCAATATTATGCACACTATGTTTACATTTAAAAATGTAAGATTATGTTTAATATATGAAATATTTACACTAAATAATACTAAAATTTAAGTCATTTCCCTAAATAGTACTTAAATTGTTTTATTTCTTAATTAGTACAGAGTATTTAATAATATCCATAATGTCCAGTGATTGCAACATTTACTTGAAAAATGACTAATGGATAATCACTAAAAGTGTTACATTGGGAAAAAAGTACATGTGATGCTATTTAGGGAAAATCATTATGTTTTAGTGTTATGTAAGTAAATTGCCCTTAATATATTTTTAAGAGAGAAATAATACGAAAATATTTCCATATCTAATAAAATTATGAAACCAATAATTGTGGGTAGGCGTTGCGTAGCTGGTAAGGCAATGAGTGTCAAAAGAGTAAGACCCGAGTTTGATTCTTGGAAAGCGATACAACTATACTAAACATATGGTCTGTGCAAGTACCAGTTACAGTTCTACTTCTTGTGTTGGTGTAATGCTAATTTTTATTAACATACTAACACTTTGTGTCAGTATAAATTTTTGTTAATGCACCAACACTTTGTGTCAGTGTGAACCATCAAAATGTTAGTATATAACTTTGGTGTAAGATTGAGGTACAAATTTTGGAGTAAGTGTAGCATGGTCCATATCAATAACTATAGGATGGCTAAACACAAGTTAAGGTAATTAATCTACGGAATATATGTTTTTAAAAAGAAAAAAATACCGAATATATAACTTTGGGGATTGTCTTATATTCTTTCCTTCTTGGGTCAACAATGGAAGTTTCGGTTAAATCTAACAAATTCCTTATCGGTAATACGGAGTATATTCGAGGCTTTCCTTCTTGATAAATGTCGTTTTTCTACGCCATAAATATGAGTACATTCCATATTTGTCAGGACATAAATTAACGGATATAAAACTAGGACTTTTCACATAAAACTAACTAAAATAGGAAACATAATGAGACAAACACAAAGTAAAACAATATACTCGATCTATATATTGCAAAAATCTTCCCAATAATATACGGAGTATTATCCAAAATGCTACGAGAAATGCTAGAGTCACAAACATTTTGGTCACAAAATACACAAACTTACCATTTGTGTATTTTAATGTTAACTTTTTAATTATTCAACATCATTTTATTCATTTAGTAAGGTGCACAAATGGAAAGTAGTCACAAATTTTACAAATGTGCCTTTTTTGAATTTTAAATATAAATATTTTTTATTATTTGGGTGCATCTTGTTCCTAGTAAAATGTTAAAAAGGAAAATTTTTTGAATTTTGTAAAATATTTGTTTGTGGCTCTAGCATTACAGATATATTATTGTATAAATCACCTAAATAGGACTAAAACATAGAGAAATGTATCAAAATAATACTTTCATGTTTTTTTTCCAAAATAGGAGTTTGCATTGTGGTAATGTGACACTGTACATGTGCACATTACAATACTTTTTAGTAATATACATGACCATGTTTTGCAATGTAAATGCATTTTAAATTCTATATCGGGAATAAAAACATAGAAGTCCTATTTTGGTATATTTTCAATGTTTTAGTCCTTTTTTGGTCTTTCTTCCTATATTATTAGATATTGAATTGAAGTGAAACTGTTTTTTTAATTAATTTGCTTATGTATGAAGGTCGAGATGAATTTTATAAAGAGCAATGCTACGTTCACAAACAGAAGTATTACAAATTTCACAAACTTACTATTTTTGGTTTAAATTCTCATTTCAAAATTACTTTAATGCATTTAATTTTTTTATTGAAGTTCACAAATGATAAGTTTGTGAAGTTTGTGAAGTTTGGGTTTGTGAACATGGCATTTCCCTTTTATAAAACACTCGTCTTAATAATGTAACAACAAAATAAATAGAAATATGCATTTCGAGTAAAAAAAGATATATGCAGTTAGTAGGAAAAATGATACCGGAGTATTTGCATTTCATTTTTTCGCTAATGACACTCCAAAATATACTCCATACTATTCACCCTCTCACAATTACATTAAGAATGTACTCCCTCCATTCTTTTTTAATCGTAAGTTCACTTTTCAAGTCTAATGTTTGACCAATAGCTAGTATCTTTTAAAATATATTAGTAAAATTTTATTAAAAAATAGAGTAAAAATCAACAATTTAGTACTCCATCCGTCCTAAAGTATTTGTCCACTTTCATTTTTACACACCACCCAATGCACATCTTTAATCCATTTTATCTTGTAATTTGTATATTAAAAAATTATAGAAATTATATATTAATAATCTATATGTTAAGACAAATCAAACAAGATCACACATGATTATATTTAGGCTTACACATTGAGAGAATTTGATGAGTCAATGTGCTTGGATGAACAGTTTCAAAAGTCAAAAGTGGACTAGAACTTGGGGACATAGGGAGTATAACTTTTATGTTTCAATTCATTATACTACGTATATTTTATACTCCCTCCGTCCCTAAATAAACTTCCATTTTTGACTTTTTGAGGATTTAAGGGAGGGATATTTTTGTGTTGACTTTCCAAAAATACCCTTGATGTGATGTGTAAAAGTAAGATGTGATAGGTAGATTATTAGTAAAAAAGTATGATGTGATAGATAAGGTATGAAAAAGTAAGGGGTAAAAGGGGTTTTTTAAGGGAAAAAAGAAGTTTATTTAGGGACAACGAAAAAACGAAAGAAGAAGTTTATTTAGGGACAGAGGGAATATATAATTAGTCAAACATTTGGCACACGTACAAAGTGAATTGAATAATTAAAAAGGAATGGATAGAGTATTGTGGAGTGCCCATTGTAAAAATAGAGTAAAAAAATATCATTTCCCATTTAATAAGTGATTATTTTGTTTACTTTATGGATGAATTCGACAATATATATGACTGTAATTTTTTTCCTTCTAGCTCTAACATTGATGCTACTCAGATGGAAATTCAATCTTGTGAATAGTACTCCCTCCGTCCCTAAATAAAGTTCCATTTTTGAATTTTCGAGAATTTAAGGGAGAGATATTTTTGTGTTGACTTTCCAAAAATACTCTTAATGTGATGTGTAAAAGTAAGATGTGATAGGTAAATTATTAGTAAAAAGGTATGATGTGATAGGTAGGGTATGAAAAAGTAAGGGGTAAAAGGGATTTTTTAAGTGAAAAGAAAAGTTTATTTGTAGACAAAGAAAAAACAAAAGAGGAACTTTATTTAGAGAAGGAGTGAGTATATATTTAAGTTCAAAAAAGTGAGATTATATGATCAAAATATTTTTTAGAGAAATAGTATGAAACATATTACAGAGTATATCTATTAAAAATATGAAACATATAATTGTTTCCTCAAAAACGACCATTTTATTTTGAGACGTCCAAAAAAGAAATGAAAAAATTAATTTGAGGTGAGGGAAAATATCATCAATAATTATAGAATGAGTTTCGCCAAACACAAGTTAAGGTAATTAATCCATATCTTTGGTGAGTGTCTTGTATTCATTCCTTCTTAGGTCCTCAATGGAAGGGTCGGTTAAATCTAACAAAATCTTTTTCAGTAATATTTGATGAGGCTTTACTTTTTTTAATTTTGTAAATTTTTGTCTTCCAATTAATCGTGATTATTACCATTTTAAATTACAAACTACTTATCTTCAACTATTAGGCTTGGGACTTTCAAAAATTTGACACCAAATTTGGGAAGATTCGATAATTGTCAATTTTCATATTTCTCGGGGCATAAAAATTTATGGATATAAAACTAAAATAGGAAACATAATGAGATAATTAAAAAGAAAGTTAAAAAATATAACTCCATTTATATAAGGCATAAATCTTCCGAATAATATATTATTGGATTCCATTGAAGTGAAAGATTACCATATATGTTCCATAGTATTTACTTTTCCCTAATTACTGATCATGCATGCGCCCATCTACATATATAAACACATATTTTACCATTGTTCATCAACTTCAAACAATAAAACAAAAGTTACATTTTGAGCTAAAGGGGTGAATTGGAAGGAAGAGAGAAATATATGCATTCCATGAAAGGAACGGAGCAAAACAACGGCGGGGGCCACCGCCACGACGGCCGCCTTCGTGTGGTGATGTTCCCATGGCTAGGCTATGGCCATGTCTCACCTTTCTTGGAATTGAGCAAGAAGTTGAGCTTGAGAAACTTTGAGATTTACATATGTTCCACCCCTGCAACCCTTGAGCCGGTGAAGAAGAAGCTTGCCGCCGCCGCTGGGGACGCCGCCGCCGTGAGCTTTCTCGAGCTCACGCTCCCGTTGTCTCCCGAACTTCCGCCGCACTACCACACGACCAACGGCCTCCCCCCGCACCTCATGCCCCTTCTCAAGGAGGCGTTTGACGCATCGCGTCCCGCCTTCGCGCAGCTCCTCCGCGACATCAAACCCGACCTCCTCGTCTACGATTTCCTCCAGCCGTGGGCCCCACAGGAGGCGGCGGAGCTCGGCATCCCCGCGGTCGAGTTCATCAGCAGCAGCTCCACCATGACTTGCCTCATGGTCCAACAGTTCAAGCAGCCGGGCGTCGAGTTCCCGTTCCCCGCCATCCGGTACCGAGACTACGAGCTCGCTAAGATTGCCAAGGAGAACGCGTCGACCCCTCCGGAGAGACGCGAGAAAGACAAGAGCCGTGTGCGCGATTGCTTTGCGCGCTCTTGCGGTCTCGTCTTGATCAAGACCTTCGATGAGATCGAAGGTCAGTATAGTAATTTCATCACCACTTTGACCGGGAAGAGAATTGTCCCGGTTGGGGCATTGGTTCAAGAACCTAGTAAAGAGGACGGGGAATCCGAGGTGATCGTGTGGCTCAATGGGAAAGAAGAGAAATCCACCGTGTTCGTTTCCTTTGGAAGTGAGTACTTTTTGACCAAAGAAGACTTGACTGAGATCGCTCATGGTCTGTACCTTAGCAACCTGAATTTTGTCTTGGTTTTAAGGTTTCCAAAAGGAGAAGACCATGACGATCTCAAACAAGTTTTGCCAGAAGGGTTTCTTGAAAGGGTCGGGGAGAGAGGTTTGGTCGTCAAGGGTTGGGCCCCACAGGCGAAGATCTTGGAGCACCCGAGCATTGGAGGGTTTGTCAGCCATTGCGGGTGGAGCTCGGTCATGGAGGGCATGAAATACGGTGTCCCCATCATTGCCATGCCCATGCACATTGACCAGCCCGTGAACGCCAAGCTGGCAGCCAAGGTGGGGGTGGCGATGGAAGCTGTCAGGGACAGCAATGGAAAGCACTGCCGCGATAAAATAGCAGCGGTGATCAAAGCGGTGGTTCGGGAGGAGGCCGGAGAGGGCGTGAGGTCAAAAGCGGCGGCAATGCGTGAGATGCTGGCAGAGAAAGGTGATACAGAGATCGATAGGGTGGCTGAGGAGTTGAGGAAGCTTTGTGCCAAGAAAGAGCATGACTTCACTCCCATCTTCTAGTCTGGTTTATATATATTACGGAGTATATTAGTTCATTTCTTTATAGTATGACTTGAGATTTTATTTAAGTTTATAGCTAAGTTTGAGGTTTATAGCATATGCTTCCCAGCTACAAAAATGGTGGGTAGGGAGTATGCGGCTACATATATTATATATGGCCGCTCACTGCTGCATTTCTTTATAATATACGCAGACAAAGTGTAGTAGGCAATGTTTTTTAATTAAATTAATTATTATAATGATAGCAGTTTAATTGGTATTACTATTGAAGGTGTCTTTTTTTTTTCTCTGGCATTATATATGCAAATGGGAGAAAAGTAATGATCTTTGCAATCAGATAGAGGAATGTATTAAAACCCATGGCATTTCTTGAATTCTTTTTTCTAGGGAATTATGATTTTTAGCTTATATTTTGTGCAAATTTAGCAGGCCAAACGGGGAGAAGAAACCACAGCCATTTGTAAATCTCAAGACGAAAATGTGAATCACATATTTGCGCATAGATACGATGGATTTTCAATTGAAATTGCATCGGTGTGTTTTCAAAAAAAAAAAAAAAGAAATTGCATCGGTGTTTTTGATGGGAAATCTGCAGAAGAAAAAGAAAAGAGATAGTTGTAATTCATCATGCCTGTCATATATCTTCATTTGCTCATCTCTCTGAGGCTTGCTTCTGGTTTTCTATGGACCCCCAAGAATGGCATTTTCAATGTCTTCCCTGCTGAGGGCATAACTGAATCTTCTCTCCACATCTTTCTCCATCCCTCCAGGTCCACTCTTTAGGTACCTGCACTTTTACCAGTTCCAGGTAAAACCCATGATAAAGGCCAAAGCACTTTTACCAGTTGCATGTAAACCCGTGATCAAAACCATGAAGACACTACCTAGTGACAATCTTTAGCTTGATCGTTTTTAAAGTTAATTTGTACCATTAAAAAATGAACTGAAGCTAAAACTAGTTGAAACAATGTTCCCAAAGAAGGCCTAAATACTGCAGAGTAATGTTCTGAAAAATGCAAATCATATCACAGTTAACACCAGCTTTCACTTTTTATATTTTCTTCAGTTAATTGTGAGTATCAATCAAGATTTAAGCCCAAATTAAGCCTGCCATCAAATATGAAGATTGTTTCAACAAAAAAACCCATAAAAATGTCAACTTTATCAGAGAAGAAGACTAAATGGGTAGACTGAGAAACCTTATGTAGAGGTCAGTGACGTCAAGAGACAATCGAGCATGCCAATCTGGATTTTCCACAAACCAGACGGCTCTGTCTTCTTTGCTCTGGTAAAACCCTAAACTCATTAGCCAGGCTTCTATGCAAGGCAAGCTGTGAGCGTACAGAGCCTTATTCTTGTCGGGCAGCCTCCGCAGCCACCCTTCCGCCGCCGTGCCGCCGGCCTCGGGGGAGGATTTGGAACACGGAAGTGGCTTTCTCGGCGATGTGAGAGGACGGGGCCGTGGTGGGAATTTAGTGATAATTGAAGGGCCTCCGGTGGAAATCCTTGCAAAGGAAGACGGATTTGGAGAACTTATTGAAGGAAGGATCGACGCGTAAAGGGCCGACATTTTATCCGGCAGCCGGGAGTCACTCCGGAAGGAGGCGAAAGGTATGAAGATGGGGCTCTACGGCGTCGTTTCCTAAAATTGGTTCTTCACCTGCTCTTCCGTTTCACGTTCTAAAAAAAATGAGACGCCAAAAACACCACACACTAGTGACACTACATCTCCGCTAGACAATTTCAATTTGAGATAGGACTACTCTTGCTACCAACTTTGCTTCCACACACTTTTTCATCATATATTTATCTCTACACATTCTCTACCTACTCTCTAATTTAATTTTCTTGCCTCCCTACCACATGTTTATGTAGAGAGCATGATTGGTAGCAAAGGTGAGGGGTTTTTAGCATTTTCCTTTGAAGTATGGAAAAATTTTAAAAATAAATAAAAATTTAATGGTTTGATGGATGGTGTACCAATGCAGTATGACTCTAGCATGATTTTTCTTAAAAACAGGACCGTTTGAGAATAATAAAGCGCTAGAAAAGATAGATAATTGTGTCATGCCGGAGTAAATGATAATAAGAAAATTTTATTTGTACCCACATCGACTTCATTTTATGCCTTGAGAGTTTGTCTTAATACGAAATGTAAATACAACACTAACATGTCAATATTGTACTTGTATTTCGTGCCAGGACAAATCTTTGGGGTACTTAGAACAAGTGAACAACCCTAAATGATAACACTCTAAGAAATCATATACTCCGTATTGTTACTCCATCCATCTCGTAATTATCGTCCGGATTTGACTTGACATGATTTTTATTAGATTAAAATGTTAGCACTTGTGGTTTGTGTATAGAAAAAAAATTAAAATGGGCCACATATTTATTTTCTTAAAAATAAAGAGGAAGAAAACTTTAGGACAACTCAAATAAAAAAGAAAGATAATTATGAGACGAAAGGATCGGAGTATTATTTCTTAATGATATTACCTGATTAATGTTTATATAATTATATTTATTAATTTTTTTTAAGATACTTTATTTATATTTCACTTTTAGATTTTATTCTTTTAAATATTTCAGTTTAAAATTCTATTCTTTTGCGGAGTAATATTTAATTATAATATTGTTTAAAAGGGGAAAGCCTATAAAATGAATATTGTATAATTTTTTAAACAATATTTACATTAGTTTGTATATTTTAAATTTAATTTATATTCTTAGTTTATGTAAATTATTTAAGGGGAAAGCCTATAAAAAGTACGTAAATGCGTAATATGTTAGTGTTAAAAAGTAATACGTTATTAAAAGGGGAAAAAAGTTATAAATGGAAAAAATAATGCTTCTTTGGAATAAAACCACTAACATAAATATAAAACTAATAAAATTTATTAAGCGAAGTACGTGCATTACTAATTATTTCAAAAAAATGAATGTTTTAAAATCAATTTTTATGCAAAAATATAATTCTAAATCCAAAAATATGAAGTGTTCCATACCCTTTGTTGTCAGATATTTGAAATTAACATATAAAAAAAAGAATATAATATCTGAACAAAAAATTCGTTTAATGAAATATTTTTAATAGTTTTTTACTAATGTATTTTAAAAAAAATTATTGGTCAAACATATTACTCGAATCAGAGTGTTAAAAGTGGGATTACTAATTCTTAAGATTAACAACATGAAACTCACAAAAAAACTACTACGTATTAATTTAGTCACCATGTTCAATCAATAAAAAATAAAATAAACTAATGCCAAATCACTATTTCGTATATAGTTAAAATTGTCAACTCATTAAAATAATAAATAGGTGGCTGATGACTTGTTAAAAAACCCAAGTAGACCCCCACGTGTCAAAATTTTTTGAGCCGAGTCTCAAATATTATAGTAAAGGATTCCAACATGTGAAATTCCATAATTTCAAATTCAAACAATTATTTAAGAAGTCATAGGATTTCTATTTTAGAATTTGAATTTGGAAGTCAGCAAAGACGATCACTCTTTAGTTAAAATTTTTAAATTAAAGAAAAATTGAGCATGAATTTGTAAATGAAATGGGGATAGATATTTTAAACTTAAATTCTTTGACTTCTCAAACAAGTACTTTGTAATTTGGATCAAATCTGAATTTGAAATTCAAATTCAAGTTTCCAAAAGAATTAAGATTTTAAATATGGTATACTCGTACGCAAGTGGGGTGAGATTTCACAAAATTAGGTTTATTAATACGGAGTATTTAATTATTTACCAAGTTAAGAAGTGCATGGGAAATTACAGGCAAGATCAATTTAATTTTGGCATGAACCAAAGAAAATGTAAAAAAAACAATTTTAATTGGAAAGAGGAGGAAAATTACTTCCCTTGTATGATGATACAATAATGTATGGTAATCACAAATCACTCCATTGATTACTACCGGAATAAAATTTACTTTATGATTTTAATACGAGTAATAATTTAAACATGTAAAAATATACGGTGAATCTTCTATATTTTCAAAAAATCTACCTTCATCATAATCAATTTTTAGAACTTTTCAAATAATTTCCAAAAGAATACACGAAGTACTCTGTAATATACTTTTATAAATCTACAAAATATTATTAGACATAGTTCTTTTCAGTTTGATTTTTTAAATAAGATGTTAGAAAACATTGAAAGACGTTAGAGAAATTGGAGGAATAGTGGTGTTAAAACTCATTAAATGTGAAAAAATAATTAGTTCATTTTGGAAATAAAAACACATTAAATATGATAAAATAATTTTAAATTTTATAGGATGAAAATCTAATAAATAATAAGCTATAAGTATAATTTAATAAATTTGAAAGTAAATATTTCATATTGTTTGAAATTATTTAATAGAATAAGTTTTAAATTCGTTTGAATTGGTAAATTTGTAAGTTTAAACATCGTTTCGACGCTGTTTTTATTGTCGTTAGCCGGGGAGACTAAACAGGGCATAGTTCTTTATCAACATGTACCATCTTAAAACCGCATAGAAATAAAGACTATGGAAATATACATATATGCAAATAATGCCATATTTAAATAGCTTGTTTTAATTGCTCGTGCTTTCCAAATTTAAAGTATTATTATATGGTTCCTTCACATCCCACACAATATATATATACACCCACGGGTAGCCTATAGGAATAATATTGATTTTATAATTTGTAAGAGGTAATAATAACAGTAATAATAATAATAATAGAATGGATCCCTTTTGGAATCCCCCAAGTTATGGGAATCCGGAGAAGTGGCCAGTGGGATATGGGGAAGGTTCCCGGCACCCCGGCGGCGGCGGCACAGACAGTTACTATGAACAACTCTCCCCGCTTCCACCGTTCCCACCACAATATCAATACCCTCATGACTATCAACAACCTCCGCCGTCGCCTCCCCGGCAATATCAGTACTACCCTCATGACTACCAACAACCTCCGTCGTCGCCTCCGGTGTTCCCAAACTACCAATACCCTGACAGCTGTCACTACGCTTCCACGGCTCACTCTCAAACCCACCCTACTTACGGCCAAGGTGTTGGCGGAGGCGGCGGCGGCGGCAATTATTACGGCCGGTTCCCGGCGTACTATGAGCAGCAGGAAAGCAGCGTCGGCAGCAACGTTTTCCCACCGCCGCCGGAAGAGCGCGAAGAAGAGCGGCTTCCGAAGTTTTCGGAGCAGTACCATTTTCACCAGGGGCCGGACGGCAAAACAATCAAAACGGTGATCAAAAAGTACCTGCCTTGGAATGACAAAAAGAACAAGAAAAAGTGATTATTAGGATTTAGGACCATGGGCTATAATAATATACTCCCTAATTCTTCCTTAATTGCTTAGTTTAATACGGGGTAAGTTCTTTAATTACTAGCGGTCGAGTATTTGTTTTAGACTTTGGTTGCTTTCTATGTTTTTGTCTAGTTGAGGATTTTGAGATTCTATATGCGTTAGTAGCATATAGCCATATATTAATATTAATAATATTTAGAGGTATTAAATTGTTATAAAAGTGATTATTAAAAATCAAATTTAGTATTAATTTTAAAGAGCACTTGTTCTTATTTTTACACAAATAAATACTTTTTTGTTACGATTTATCACCTCTTATTTAAAGAGCACTTGTTCTTATTTTTACACAAATAAATACTCCTTGCATCAATCGTGAAGGCAGTATCTAATTTAAAGTACTGAAAATGGTTGTGAAGTCCTCTGGCTTAAAATTTTCTCTTTCTACCACATCAACTTTAACTTACACCAAAATTTCGCAGAAAATAGGTTTGAAGCCCCCGGGTTTCACACTAGGATTTCAAATCTCTATTTTTTACATTTTTGAATACAAATCTTCTAAAATTAAATTAATAAAATTTCATTATTTTATTGAATTTAAATGACAATAACTCTTTAAATAAAAAAAATTACATTCAATAAAATATTGCATTAATATAATAAAATTTGGATAAAATGATGATCTTATTTTTCGAATATTTTGTAGAGATAATTAAAAAATATATAATATATTTTAGAGGAATTATGGAGACAATGAGAATAAGTTGTGTGTGTTTGTTGTGATAAAAATAAGTGTAATTATAATATTGAAAATATTTTTTTTAAATTAATGCCCAACGTCCAAATTATGGTCATTGGGGGAGGGAGAACGTTTGGGAGAGGGAGAAGCGCTGCGTCAAAGCTTTAACGCAAACCTTTTAACGTTCGAATGACAGTAAAGGAGAGCAGTGTTTAGCACCCCCCTCCCCCCGTGCGTTAAAACACACTTAATGCCTTTGGGCGTTAGCACCATTTCCGGTGGCCTTAAGGATAATATAGACCTTAGAATCAAGTGGGCTATAAACATAGAAAGCAATATTATTAAGAGGGTGTTTGGGAGTGGTAGATTGATGATGAATAAGAAAGTTAAACTTGGGAATGCAATTAAAGGGGGTGGGATGATGTGTTCGGGGTAGGGTAGGAGCTTCACCGGAGGTAAGAACCGTCAATTTTACGAACGGAGCATTATATGCCCCCCGGATCATCCCATGACTCTTAGAAATGACTTAGTAATGTCAAGGGAACTGCCCCCTTAATTATAAAGGGGCAAATTGGCAAACTACATTTTAACAAGCAAAACCTCAAAAGCAGTTTTTAAATACAACCTCGAACACCATCTAAAACTTATAGTAAGTATGTAGTGTAAATACTACGGGTACAACGTAAAAAACACCTTCAGATGCATCGTTGTCTATTAGGTAGATAGATAACTTATGAGGAATTCACTTAAATAGTACTGAAACATAATGATTTTCCCTAAGTAGGATTATATGTGTTTTCTTCCCAATGTAGCACTTTTAATCATTATCCATTAGTCATTATTCAAGTAAATGTTCACCATCACTAGACAGTAATCCTCCTTCATGACATTATTAAGTGTTATTTAGAGAATAAAACAGTTTAAGTGTTATTTAGGAAAATGACTTAAGTTTTAGTGCTATTCAGTGCAAATATTTCATAACTTATTGAAGTAATTACTTGTAGTTACTCTTTGTTGAAATGGTTGGGATAATTGAGGCAAGTATCTGTTGCTGACGGTTGTGATTGTTTTGCCATCGGCATCCTGGCACCACCTCCGCAAACGTCAGAAAGCGTTGTTCCACGCCACCTACGGCATTGGCAAACTGACGTTGACCATCATTGACTGGTGGACCAGGCCACCACCACACTACCACTCTCACATTGCCAGCCACCAACATTCACACTGCTATATTGACATCGCACTGCCACCTAGAGGATAAAAACAATGGGACTCTTATTTTGGTATTTTAGTGGCATTTTACTACGGAGTACTGTACTATTTATCTAGGGACAATTCTTTGCTTAAGAAGTTGACATGGTTCAATGAGGTAAACATGAGCCAATTAATCTCATACCAGCATATGCTGCAGTACACTTTCTATTTTGAAGTGTTACCCATGAATTCTCCTCTTGTATCCCATGGGCGACTTTCGAACGATTTTCCAACCATACTGCGCTTCTGATTTACAGTCCCATCGTCGCACTTGTACTCTGGGAAGTAATCGATGAACATCTTCATGCCCAGTTCATCAACTCCTTTGAAAAGGAAACTCCTGATTATTTCCTATACATAATATCCACAATAATCAAAAGGTAAACTAACAAAGAACCAATTTCATGATCGCTTAGCTATCAATCAAACCTTTGCAAGTGTCTCCCCAGTTAATCTTCTCAGAAGTTGGTGGCCGGGATCCTGAGTTTAGGAAACAAATGTTAAATCCTCAAAACACGGGTTGCATGGAGTAGTTTGTTATTTCATATTGTCCATCATCATCAAACACCCTACCTTTTCTGCCCTCCATGTGAGATACCTATGTTGAGCTTCAAGATTCATGATAATCTTAGAAGAATCTGTTTCCGCTGTTACATGGTCCATCAACTGAAGCCATGACTGTGAGAAAAACAATGAAAGATGTGACGACTGACTACAAGTCCAGGGTGTGGGTGGGTCTATGATACTTTTTTTTTTCCATTGATTTATCAGTACAGTACCTTGAGATAGTCACAGAAAGCAGAATACAAAAGATGATGCTTCTGCTGGCTTGGGGGAAACTTGCTCCATATTACAATGGGCGAGAAAAACTTCATTGATTCAGAAGTGATCTTTCCTCCCCATGGAAAAAGCTGCATGCATGAAATCCAGGTTTGTTTAATCTCCATGGCATGGCATGGCTTTTTTGTACAATGGGAAGATGAATTAATTACACCAGACCAAACCAGACCAGACCCCTCTTGGAAGGTGAGTCCCCTAAAACTTTGCTAACCTCGGTATACTCATTTCCAAGGGGAATTAAGTGTGTATAGTATTTTTTCTTGTAATCGTGTTGACTAATGACATCGTGTAACGGATTGAGGTCCCTGAAAAGGGGGCAAAGAACATTGAGCAATGAGAAAAAAATGATGTAAAACGGTTGTGTTGTTCACTTGTTTTTTAATCAAGTGGAAAGAGAGAAGGTAGCTTACAATAAAACTATGCTCATGGCTGCCGTGGTAAAAAAGTTGGCACAGAAAATTGGGAGATCAAACTCTACTCGGGGAAAGATGGCAAAATCTAATACCTGGATATATAAGGTAATTCATTAGAAAGAAAAAAGCATACATCAGCAAGAAAAAGAGAAGAAGATGCTATAACTTCAAACATTTCCAGTTGTTAGATACGATATGATTGTAAGCGAACGAACCTGCATACTATCACTCCCTTCAATGCATAAACTTCGGAGTAGTCTAATCTTAGGTGACTCAAAAGAGTGCATGTGGAGCTCCGTTTTCCCATCAATGGAAGACAAGCAACCAAACTTCTCCTGCATTAAAATTTAGTACATCTTACTCTTCGAATATAACAATTACCGATCGTATTATCAAAACTTGGAGGATTCTCATTAAAATTCAGTACATGTTACATCTTCCCCTCTATCTTGGCTTTCTTTCTGTGGGAATGAGCCACTAATCTCAAAGATTACATATATGATACTGTTGAAATATACTGTAAAAACATTTGTAAACCATGGCTTGAATGTCCATAAATCATTTCCCCACTTCAAACTTCAGAGAACAAAAACTTATACACCATGGCCTACTTCTTTTTAAGTTCACAGGTTCATACTAAAAATCAGATCTTTAGAGAGCATTTATACTTCAAAGTTTCACAGCAAACAGCACAAATTGTAACTTTTGAAACAATGAGCCGGTACCTGCAATGGAGAAGGGCTCAAGTTGGTATGTTTCCTAGTTTCTTCCAAAGCAAAGTGGACAAATTTCTTGTAAGTCAAAGCAGAGGGCGGTTCAGCCATTACTGGCCTCGTTTTACTGGTAATTCTGCAGCACCATTTTCTGCCATTTGAGGTATTCAAAGTACGGGCAGATGTATTTCTAGGTTTTAAGGGAGCTGAGATCATACTCAGTGAGACAAAATGCTTTGAGAAAGACTCCATTGGGAAAGGTCAAAGGTTCTGAAGTAAAAGTTAAAAAGAACTGGACAAAATTTTCTTTTCCAATTTCAAGACTTTACAGTGCTAGAGCAAGATTCCAAAGGCTAAACTTTCCGCCGTTGCTGCTGATGCTTGCCGCCGCCGCCGCCGCTCCAGCCGGGATTTTTCCGCCGCTGCTTCTGCCAGGGTCTGTCCGCCGTCGCCAGAACCCAAAAACCCAAAGCTAATAGCCTCTGCTACAGCAGTGGGAGAAACCTGCCGCCGTCATTTCTGCAATTAGCCGTCGCGGGCACCGGCTGAAAAAGGAAGAAGATGGTGGCAAAAGTTGGGAGGTGATGAAGCCATTGGAGCGTTGGTTGGAAAAGGAATAAATGGAACCAATGGGTGAAGATGATGATGAGGTTGAGTCGGTGAGAAACTGAGAATAATTGAAGTAAGGGCACCTTTGGTGAGAAAGATGAAGAAGGTACTCATTAAGCAAAAAAAAAAGATAGCCTACCCGGTCAGGCGTCACTGAAATAAGTTAAATTAGATTTTAATCATAGATTGGTGGCAAGACTGCATCAGGTATTTGCAAGAAGTGGAGCATACATCTGATACTTTCACTCGGGTCTTTAGCACCTCTTTAGACTTTGGTTGTTTGTTTGAGTGTGATTTTTAATTTATTTTAAAAGTATAAAGTTTGGATATTTGTAGATATCCAAGATCTTAATATTTTATTTGATATTGGATTCAGTTTTTTTTAATATTCGATATGGAATATTCGAATATTGGAGTAATATACTAGATTGAAAATCCATTTTTCAGATTGAATTGATCCAAATCGAACATATTTCCTTGATCAAATATCTTTGAACACACCTACACGATGAGGGTTGGGGGTGGCAGGGTACGAGGTGGTGGAGGGGTAGTGGTGACGGTGATAGGGGTTGGGCCATTGAGGTGTGGCTGGGGCACAGACGGGAGATGGGGCGGTGGTTTGGGCTGATTGCATGGTGTGGGTATGAATTTTTTCCCGAGATCAAATAGAAATTATTTTTCTCCTTGATGAAAAGAAAGAATATTTTCATAATACTCATGTATTTTAATAAAAAAAATTTATACTCATTTTCTTTTGTGTCTTCCAAATATTTTGTCCAACAATACCTTCTAATTTTAATTTTAATTCTCTGTATTTTGTATATTAACTAGTTCTCTAATCTGTGCGTTGCACGGACAGTATTTTGAGTCAGTGAAAGAAAATAAAAAATAAATTTATAGTGTATATAAAAACAACACAACGAAATTGTATTCAATATAAACATTAAAAGTATTATATACTAATATTGAGGAATGCATATTGAAGACAAAAAACGAAATTAAAGGTTTTAAAAGACTTCCTTGTACACTATATTTCTAAATCAAGTTAAAATAAATGTTGAACAAAAATAGCGTACAATAACATAATCAATTAAAATGTCAAGTCAAACACAAAGCTTGAGAACGAGATGTGATTTGAAAAAATAACCCTAGAAAAATGGTGTTTCTTTAATGAAAACAGGTCCAAAGCATTTGACTTTAGCATAGCCCCATCACACGCTTCTCAGTGAAATCGTGCTTTTACTATTTTTCATAAACTGTTACACTTTCCCATAAGTATTTATTTAAATTATTACACATTCCAATAAACTTTTAATCTTTCTCATAAAGTATTTATTTAAATTACATTTTCTCATAAACTTTAACTCTTTCCCATAAACTTTTACACTTTCCCATAAAATATTTATTTAAGTTACACTTTTCCATAACATTTTACTCTTTCTCAAAAACTTTTATACTTTCCCAGAAAGTAATGATATCTTTACATTGGTACACGTTAAAAAAAGGTGGTGAGAAAGTAATAATGTCTTTACATTGGAATACGTGAAAAGAGTGGCCAAGCCGTCAAATTTCGTCTCCCAATAGGCGTGCCTCTTAAGTGCATTAAATGCAATGTACTTTTGATTCGTGGTTCAATAAATCTCTCTTTTAGCCTTTATTACTCCACGGGTACCAAAGAATCTATGCTTAAAGATCTCTCTAGTATAAAGAAAAGCAACAAAAAAGGGAGTTTTTTGGGGAAGGTGAACTCCACTCATCCGATAGGCAAGGATGGAACAACAGAAGTATAGCCGATGCACTTGGTGATGATGAAGTGGACTTTGTATTATCGCATGGAGATTTTGTAAGGTAACATGTTTGGCAACTAGGGTATATTCTTGCAAGTTGCAATACATTGTATTTTGAATATTTGGTAAGGGATTTTAGCTGAAAGGCCTGAACTTTCTTAATTTCATGTAGGGAAAATTGTTTTTGTAACATGCATTTCAGCCAAAATAAGTATTCCAAAAGCTACTTTATGCTTATTCATCTGATAGAGTTAAGTCAAATCTACTACCAAACAGAGACTTGAACTCTGTTCTTACAAGCTGTCTTTGTAATGTGATGCTCTCTATTAAGGGACAAGGCATGGGGTGGGGAAGGAGGTAGCAATCAAAATCTTGGGGATGGATGCATTTAATCTCGGAGGATGCATTGGATGCAAGGTGTATGTCGGCATTTTTTTTTTATTTTTTTGGTTGTCTTTTATTCCCTTGTTCACATGCTCCCTTTGTTGGCTATTTAACTAGCCACTGGTCTGTGTGCGTGTGTGGTATTATTAACACACCACCAAGACAGAGAAAGAGAGCACAAGGAGAGGTTCTACACACGAATACTACTGGAAAAATCCAAGGGGTCTTTGTGAGTGTGGGTAAGTGTAGGGAGAAGTAGTATTTAGTTACTCGAAAAAATACGTCTGGGCATAGGATGGGGTAAAGTCTATTTGTAAGTGTTGGGTATTTAGCCTTGTTAATAGGGGCAGAGTTCTTTTGTATATTGTCCCGATATAGTGGAGATATAGTTCTTTTGGGTATACCTTTTCTACCCTAGATCAGATTGTTTTTCCAACTTTTCTTTTTGGAAGCACATGGCAAAAAGTAAGCTAGTTGTCAAACATAAAAAAATTTATGCAGAGTATTACTTACCATAGTTTGTACCACAAAAAAAAAACAAGACATCAAACTTAAGTCACTGTGGCACATTGTTATGAACCCAAATTCTATCCTCGCTGCAGTTCTAGAAAATCTTCCCCGCATCTTAATCCTGACAAAGAGAGACGATCAAAGAAACCTCTTAATTCTCTTCATTACGGAGTAGACTAAGAGCATCCACAGTGGTAACACCTCTCATTAGATGCTCAACTGTGGGCTCTACTTTAAAAATATTATTGTGGCATCTCTTTGAACATCTAAATGTTTTAATGGTGACACCTCGTTGAGATGTCTTAGGGGAATCCTACTCACATATAGAAACAATTTTTATTACTTTTTTAATTTTAATTTTTTATATTATATATAGGAGTGTTAAATATGGAGTAATAAATTATTAATTAAACTGATATTTTTGGAAAAAATAATATAAATAATTAAAAATATTATTAATGACTTTTTTTGCAAAATATTTTGATTAAAAAAATTAAAGACATGTTGGTATTACTAAAAACAAAATAGGGTGTCATATTTTTATAGAGTATTTATTTTTTTATTCAATTTTTTGTGCAGATCAAACTCAATCAAATGAAACACAACTTCAAACAAAATTTTCATGGTATCACTACATGTTAAAAAAATGAAAAGAAAAAAAACTTGCGAAAATGGTTTGTTTAAAAAAAAATTGTAAAGATTCTTTTCCAAAAAAAAGAGACACAATAATGGTATAGGATTGTAGCATCACTACACGTTAAAGAAATAAAGAGAAAAAATATTGAAAAGAGAATGTATTATTAAAAAAAGACTTATTTTACAAAAAAAAAAGAAAAAGAAAGAATACACACATAATTTTGAATGCTAGCACCCGGTGCTCTCTTGAGCATCTCTCACTCTTTTTTTCTTTGAACATCTACTCTAAACATCTATCTCCAATAGTAGCATCTATAAACATCCTCTTCTCTCTCCTTTGAACATCTCCTTTGGGCATCCCATTGGAGATGGTCTAATTAAATGGATAATTAAAAGAAACACTTCATAACTATCACATTAATAAAGGCAACAATGTAAGAGCACAATTTTCCATGAAAAGGCGCATAGACTAATTAAATGGATAATTGTATATTTTCATTGAAGTAAATGTCAAACGAAATGTACTCAATAATCATATATAAGAACATTACATATATTACCTCGCATTTGCAACTCTACGTAGGCTTCCCAAGTTTGTAAAAAGTGGTACGTTCAAATACTTCCCCATCCGAAACTAGATCACAACAATCGAAGATGAATTTTGGCTCTATCATACCTGCTAACATGGCAACCTTCTCTTGTTGCAACATTATTTCAAATTCGGGCCACTTAACCATGAATACTATCACTTCCACTTCCCAAGCAGCTTCTCGAGTCTCTGCGACTACTATTTTATTTTGAACACTTCTAGGAAAGTATGCTTTGATTTTAATCGTGGGCACAACAGGATCATAAATGACCCATCGAACACCTTTTTCCAATAATGATCGGGAAATATAGAGGGAAGGAGACTCTCGAACATCATCCGTATTAACTTTGTTTGAAAACCCATATATATAGTGATGGTCTTTCCAGACCCTGTGCAATGTGCAATATACCGCACAAACTCATCCATTTTTGCGATTCTCATTTCATTTATCATGATGAAAAACTTCTTCTCATTAACCAAACCAACACAATCGCATAGATACGCTAGATAAGCCACATCTTTGAATAATCCCAATCCTCCATGACCCGATCTCAAATCGTGAAAGAAAGGATTATTCATTCTTGGGTGACTTTCAATAATGCTCTTAACATCTCTAAAATTCGCCCCAACTCTGTCACATATAGATGAGCCGATATTCATGATAGTCAACTGAGCGGCAATAGATGCGTTCGATAAACATTTCCCAATCTCCACCGAAGATTTTAAAGTAATGTACTCAATTATTTCATTAGCATTGTGCACCAATCTCACATACAAATCTATAAATAGCTCTTGAGTAAATAGATCATCGTTGAAAAATCCACCCATCACTATTTTAGGAGGATAGTTAAATCGTCGAGGGTTGTGCCCACTGAGAAGAACTCGGGGATCGCGATGACATGAAGATGTTCAGAATGATCGTAACCATGCAAGATATCAGCAATATGAGATTTATGATCCACTGGAAAAGTGGATTTAATTGCCACATATTTTGGTTGAGCGGGTGGTGAATATAATATTGCTCTAATAGCATCTTCCCAATTCCGAATATCCAAACTTCCCTTGATTATTTTGGGCAGACCCATGAGTGGTATATCCATTGCAATGAAAATCACCTGACAATTAACAAGTTCGCCATCAATGTCAGAGCTAAAATACAAATTTTGGCATTCATTGCTTCCATTCTGGCTCTGAAAAGGCATCTCTCTTGAAACATTATTAAGTTTGTCAATAATCTCCACATCCTTATCTAACACATAAAATAGTAGATCTTTCCATCGATTAGCAAGTACCGTCATGCAGAGAATACCAAGCCTCCCAGCACCAATACAACATATTTTATTTCCCAAACCTTGAACTTCGAATGCAGGCAGGTAATATATATATATATATATATATATATATATATATATATATATATATATATATATATATATACTGGTTGAATTACAAGAAATACACTGCGAATTTATCATTTACCACAATAGTTGGAATTTCGATATCAAATAAAACGTAAGTTCTAAAATAAAATATTTAAACTTACGAGTAGGTCAAGATTTGAAATAGAAGAATTCTAAGAAGTGTCCTTAGAGGTGGGAGAATGGGAGCTCATGTTTTCATCCCTCGTATCTGACGATTTCATCTCCAATTATGAAATCAGAAGAATACTTTACACCCATCGATTAACCAAAGAGAGAGGGAAGAGACAAGAGAAAGATTGTTCAACACGAGAACACAAATTGCGAGTTGTCAACTAGGGGTTTTGGGGATTTGTGTGCGTGTGCAGCCGCCGGGAGGGGAGATCTACGAGTGATGAAAACATGAGCTCCCATTCTCCCACGTCTGAGGACACTTCTCAGAATTCTTCTATTTCAAATCATGACATACCCGTAAGTTTAAATATTTTATTTTTGAACTTACATTTTATTTGATATCGAAATTCCAACTATTGTGATAAATGATCAATTCGCAGTGTATTTCTTGTCATTCAACCTGTGTGTGTGTGTGTGTGTCTATATATATATATATATATATATATATATATATATATATATATATAACTAGCCTGCATTCGAAGTTCAAGATTTGGGAAATAAAATATGTTGTATTGGAGCTGGGAGGCTTGGTATTCTCTGCATGACGGTACTTGCTAATCGATGGAAAGATCTACTATTTTATGTGTTAGATAAGGATGTGGAGATTATTGACAAACTTAATAATGTTCCAAGAGAGATGCCCTTTTCAGAGCCAGAATGGAAGCAATGATCAATAAATGCCAAATTTGTATTTTAGCTCTGACATTGATGGCGAACTTGTTAATTGTCTGGTGATTTTCATTGCAGTTGATATACCACTCGTGGGCCTGCCCAAGATAATCAAGGGAAATTTGGACATTCAGAATTGGGAAGATGCTATTAGAGCAATGTTATATTCACCACCCGCTAAACCAAAATATGTGGCAATTAATTCTACTTTTCCAGTGGATCATAAATCTCATATTGCTGATATCTTGCATGGCTACGATCATTCTGAACATCTTCATGTCATCACGTTCCCCGAGTTCTTCTCAGAGGGCACAGCGCTAGATGATTTAACTAATCCTCCTAAAATAGTGATGGGTGGATTTTTAACGATGATCTATTTACTCAAGAGCTATTTAGAGATTTGTATGTGAGATTGGTGCACAATGCTCATGAAAGAATTGAGTACATTACTTCAAAATCTTCGGTGGAGATTGGAAAATGTTTATCGAACGCATCTATTGCCGCTCAGTTGACTATCATGAATATCAGCTCGTCTATATGTGACAGAGTTGGAGCGAATTTTAGGAATGATAAGAGCACTATTGAAAGTCACCCAAAAATGAATAATCTTTTTTTTCACGATTCGAGATCGGGTTATGGAGGATTGGGAACGGATTGGGAACACGATGCTGATTCGCTCAAGTTTTCCGAAGTAGATTTTCTATTTTGAAGTGTTACCGATGAATTCTCCTCTTGTATCCCATGGGCGACTTTCTAACGATTTTCCAACCATACTACGCTTCTAATTAACAGTCCCGTCGTCGCACTTGTTCTCGGGGAAGTAATCGATGAACATTTTCCTGCCCAGTTCATCAACTCCTTTGAAAAGGAAACTCCTGATTATTTCCTACACAATATACAGTATACACAATAATCAAAAGCTAAACTAAAGAACCAATTTCATGGTAAAGGGAGCATTACTAAACTATTGATCTCTTAGCTATCAATCAAACCTTTGCAAGTGTCTCCCCAGTTAATGTTCTCAGAAGTTGATGTCCCGGATCCTGAGTTTAGGAAACAAATGTTAAATCTCGGAGTCCTCAAAACACGGGTTGCATGGAGTAGTTTGTTATTTTATATTGTCCATCATCATCAAACACCCAACCTTTTCTGCCCTCCATGTGAGATACCTATGTTGAGCTTCAAGATTCATGATAATCTTAGAAGCATCTGTTTCCGCTGTTACATGGTCCATCAACTGAAGCCATGACTGTGGGAAAAACAATGAAAGATGTGACGGACTAGAAGTCCAGGGTGTGGGTGGGTCTATGATACATTCTTTTATTGATTTATCGGTACATTACCTTGAGATAGTGGCAGAAAGCAGAACATAAAAGATGATGCTTCTGCTGACTTGGGGGAAACTTGCTCCATATTACAATGGGCGAGAAAAACTTCATAGATTCGGAAGTGATCTTTCCTCCCCATTGGAAAAGCTGCACGCATGAAATCCGTGTTTGTTTAATCTCCATGGCATGGCTTTTTAATACGACGGGAAGATGAATTAATTACACCACACCAAACCAGACCAGACCCCTTTTGGAGGGTGAGTCCCCTAAAACTTTGCTAACCTCGGTATACTCATTTCCCAGAGGAATTAAGTGTGTATAGTATTTTTTCTTGTAATCGTGTTGAGTAATGACATCGTGTAACGGATTGAGGTCCCTGAAAAGGGGGCAAAGAACATTGAGCAATGAGAACAATGATGTAAAACGGTTGTGTTGTTCACTTGTTTTTTAATCAAGTGGAAAGAGAGAAGGTAGCTTACAATAAAACTTTGCTCATGGCTGCCGTGGTAAAAAGGTTGACACAAAAAATTGGGAGATCAAACTCTACTCGGGGAAAGATGGCAAAATCTAATGCATGATGTAGAGAGTTCCTACTTGCCAGCCGGATAAACTGCCTAGCATATTTCTAGGGATTGGTTATTTTGGTTAATCTTTTCTGTTAATTGGTTAGTTAGTTATCAAGTGGTTAGTTAGTTGGTTTTCTTTCTTCTGCAGAGATGTATAAATACTGGCATACTGCTGCAGCATCCCTGTTGTAATGATGAGACCATTATCAATCAAATAAAGAGATCTTCTTTCTCTTTCTTGTTCGTCTGCCACCTGAGCTTCAGGTTAACAGGATATATAAGGTAATTCATAAGAAAGAAAAAAGCATACATCAGCAAGAAAAAGAGAAGAAGATGCTATAACTTCAAACATATCCAGTTGTTAGATACGATATGATTGTAAGCGAACGAACCTGCATATTATCACTCCCTTCAATGCATAAACTTCGGAGTAGTCTAATCTTAGGTGACTCAAAAGAGTGCACGTGGAGCTCTGTTTTCCCATCAATGGAAGACAAGCAACCAAACTTCTCCTGCATTAAAATTTAGTACATCTTACTCTTCGCATATAACAACTACCCATCATATTATCAAAACTTGGAGGATTCTCATTAAAATTCAGTACATCTTACATCTTCCCCTCTATCTTGGCTTTCTTTCAGTGGGAATGAGCCACAAATCTCAAAGATTACATATATGATACTCTTGAAATATACTGTAAAAACATTTGTAAACCATGGCTTGAATGTCCATAAATCATTTTCCCACTTCAAACTTCAGAGAACAAGAACTTTTGAACCATGGTCTACTTTTTAAGTTCAGAGGTTCATACTAAAAATCAGATCTTTGGAGAGCATTTGTACTTCAATGTTTCACAGCAAACAACACAAATTGTAACTTTTGAAACAATGAGCCGGTACCTGCAATGGAGAAGGGCTCAAGTTTGTATGTTTCCTAGTTTCTTCCAAAGCAAAGTGAACAAATTTCTGGTAAGTCAAAGCAGAGGGCGCTTCAGCCATTACTGGCCTCGTTTTACTGGTAATTCTGCAGCACCATTTTCTGCCATTTGAGGTATTCAAAGTACTGGAAGATGTATTTCTAGGTTGTAAAGGAGCTGAGATCATACTCAGTGAGACAAAATGGTTTGAGAAAGATTCCATTGAGGAAGCTCAAATGTTCTGGAGTAAGAGTTAAAAGAACTGGACAAAATTTTCTTTTCCAATTTCAAGACTTTACAGAGCTATAGCAGATTAAAAGACTAAATTGAAGTGGTTTGAGCAAGATTCCAAAGGCTAAACTTTCCGCCGTTGCTGCTGATGCTTTCCGCCGCCGCCGCTCCAGCCGGGATTTTTCTGCCGCTGCTTCTTCAAGGGTCGGTCCGCCGTCGCCAGAACCCAGAAACCCAAAGCTAATAGCCTCTGCTACAACAGTGGGAGAAACCTACCGCCGTCATTTCTGCAATTAGCCGTCGCGGCTACCGGCTGGAAAAGGAAGACGATGGTGGCAAAAATTGGGAGGTGATGGAGCCATTGAAGCGTTGGCTGGAAAAGGAATAAATGGAAGCGATAGGTGAAGAAGATGATGAGGTTAGTTGGTGAGAATAGTAGAAAGAAAAATGTAGGGGTACAAAAGGTGTACCCCATGTGTCCCTCACCTCTTCCTTGTCCATTAAAAAAGGCAAAAAAAATTTTAAAAAAATAAGTAAATAAAAATCAAATAAAAATTTATGATTGAGAAGAAGGTGGTGTACATTTGAGGTACACCTTTTGGTTACCCCTAACATTGCTCTAGTAGAAATAAGGGCACCTTTGGTGAGAAGATGAAAAATAGGGTGCTGATTACAAATTTGACAAGATGTATTTTATGCTCACTCAGTCCCGAAATGATCTTCTCATTTGGTTTTTTTTTGAATAGAAATGCAAATATATATTAATCAACAAAGCATACCAAAATACAAAGGTACTGTCAATTATAACACCCCACACAATTAACTGCAAATACTCCTATTTTACTCCTACTCTAGATCTCATATAAGTATCTACATGGAACTTAATTTGCTGAGTAATCTCTTTACTGGACATATGTAAGCCTTGGTGCACCAATCGATTACGAGCTTTCCAACCAAAGTAGCTTGTTGCTGCTAGAATAGCGTATAGTTTTCGTCTTTTCTTTCCTGGTTGAGCCCTTTTAACTCCTCCAAACAGCTCGTTCAGATTATTACTTTTGAAACTGCAAAGGCACCAATTATGCAGTTTGTTGTATGTTTCTTCAATAAAGGGACATTTACAGAACAAATGATGGGCATCTTCTGGGGCAGCTTTGCATAAGGGACATGTTGTGTCAATATCAAACATCTTGGACAACCTGACTTTAGTTTGAAGTCTGTTCTTACACAGGAGCCACATGATGAATTTATGTTTGGGTATTGAGAGTTTGTTCCAAACTAAGTCCCTCCATTCCACACTCTGTTTTTGATCTAGCAACCATTGATAACCTTTATCAGGGGAGTAGTTTCCTATGTTCCTCATCTCCCTATTTTTGTCTCTAACCTGGATAAGCTTCTTCCAATATAAACAGTCATCATTTCTATTGTGATAGTTCCAATAAATCAAGTCTTTAAAACTCAGTCTTCCATATTTTCTTGGTAAACAAACTTCCTCCCAAGCCACCAAGACAGTTTTCTTATGATCAGAAGTGGATCTCCATAAGAAGTTTCTACAAAGGGCTTGGATTTTGTTCATGACCTTTGCAGGGATTAGGAAAATTCTGCTCCAAAAGTTTATAGTCCTTTAATATAATATTTGAGAGTTGATAGCCTAGAATGATGACACGTGGCAAGTTAAGGCTTCTATTTTGTTGACAAGTAAGCCTACACGTGTCGTTCTCTATTAACTGAACTTCGGCTAGCCCTGAACTTCCCATACGCAAATTTACAGCCGCGATCCAAAAAGGAAACTTCTTGGAAGTCTTCTTCCCGATGCGCCTTTTCAAGGAAGGAAAGGAAAGCTTTCCGCCCAAATCTTCTTCCCGGGATTGAAAACTGTTCCGCATCTACTCTTCACCAGGAAATGAATTCTACAGCGAAGGAAAGTCTCGCCCAAATCTTCTTCTGAATTTTTGAAGGATCCAAGATCTAGGTTTGTTTCCACTATTCGTAAGCAATTTCTATTCAATTTTGAGTTTTTTGGCATGTTGTTACCCAATTACGCACCTATTCTTCCCCAAAGGTATGTATCTAATTTATTTTTCCCCAAACAGATTGCTTATTCATTTGAAATTGCTTTTCTCCTTCTTTAGCCGATACTCTCCTTCTTCATCTGACTCTGGAAAAATCTGTGCCAGTTCAAAATTGGATCTTTTTATTTTCAGCTGTAAGGATTGAGTCTCTTTTTTTCGCTTCTTTATCTATATTTTATGCTATTAATTAGTGCTTAATTTGGTTAGGATATTGATTGTATAAATTGTTGTTTATTCCCACCTTCATCAATTTCAGGGGACAAATAATAGTTCTTCAACTTGCAGTGGCAACCAGCCGAAACCAACCCGCAGCACCAGGCAGCCGAAAGAGGAAAACTCTCATTGGAATTTGTCAAACACGGTATGTTCATAATGCCTGCGTGTCATTTATTTCATGCACCCGTTAATCAATTGATTTGCTTTGTGATTCAACTATGTGTTGGAGTTGAAAATAGAAATTATACGAAGGCAGTCATATATAATTCTAATACTCTTCTTTTCAAAATTAAAACTTCATATTTTGAGGAAAAACTTGATCAATTTTTAACTACCCACTATAAATGTATGTGATTAGCAAACTATGCAATTTTTAATCACGTTTTCTATTTTAGTGAACTTAAATGGTGATATAGATTTTCAAAAAGTATATTTTTTTTGCTGCATAAACATTAAAATTTACAAATGAGACAAATTTGTGGATTAAGAGGTAAACTAAATGACTAAACTTAATATTCATCTCAGGGCCAGTAGGGATAATGAGATCTTCAGAGCCAATTTGTTGGCTTAAATGCTCCATTGACTCTTATTTATTTTGTTCTTATCATTTATAGACTTGGAAGAACGAAGCGACATTATTTTATATTAATTGAATAAAAGTTTCAAAAAATTGCATTCATCTTTATCCTTGATTTACATTGGTGTATTTGTGAAGCTGTCTTTTGTTTATCTTACGAGAGTTAGAACGATATTGAAGCTATGTTAAAAAAATGATATTATCATGAGGGTAGTATTTCACATGGCTAAGAAAATCACAAAAGTCAAAACATGTATTTTTCTAAACCATAGGGCTTGATGTATACTAGGGTATGGTTTTTTATAGAAAGTGAGATTTGGTAAAATTCCTCCTGCACACTGTCTTTATGGATGAATTTGTAACTTGAAATTCCATTTGTTGTGGTCTCTTTTTATGGTATTCATTTCATGCTGATTCTATTTATTTTCTTTAATTTGTATATATGTTGATAGGAGCTTATAAATGTAACCTTTTATTTGAACTGAACTATAAGGCCTAGGTGATTTAAAGAACTCTTTTTTCCTGATTGCACAAGAACAATGAGATTAGTGGAACCAATTATGTTTTTACTCTATAATATTTTTTGCTTGAAAATTAAAAACAGATTTTTGTTTCATTCATTAAGAACACCTGTTTTTTATGGCTTTTAGTACTGCCAAGTGTTCTGAATATTATTCAGATCCCTTAATGTTTAATTTTACCCTTTCTTGCCACTTTTTTAAAACAAACATAAATAACAAAACTAATTTGCAGCTGCTACTACTGTGAAACAATAAAAAGACCAAGCACAAGGAGAGGCAGGACAAACTACGGAGTATTAAAATTGTGCAGCAGCCTTTGTTCAGCTTCGTTGCAAGGTTAGTCAAACAAATGGCATTATTTTTTAACACAATAAATTTGTGATTTAAACAGTTTTGTGTCCAGGCCAGGATCAAAGTAAATAGAAGTGTTTGACATGCACTGTACACTTGCACACTAAAGTTAAATTAATAATGCAAATGAATTTCAATGATCCAATCTGTTTGTGATTGGAATATACTCTATATTCTATTTCACAAGAGTATAGCATCATATATATGTACAAAATACATTTGTGTAGTGGGTGTTTGTTTTACATCCTACCAACTCCATAAAGACCGAAATTGTCCCCTTCAATAGACCATGCCTCAGAACATTAGTGTCAGGGCCACTGGGTTTGATCCAGTATTTTGTATCCCTAAAATGGACTATCCATTTCGGGGTTTTCTGGGTCAGTTGTGTTTTTGACATGTATTCGGAAGTAAAGGGTCATGTATCTGATTTTTCCTATAAGTTCTCCCAGTGTATCCATCTTTCTCAACAGTCAAGAAGTGAAGAGTTCATATTAAATGTGTTTCTCTTTTTGAACTTCTCATGATTTGCTTTTAATTTGATTTACCTTTTATAAAGCTTCGAAAACATGTAGAACATTCAGAGCAGCAAGTTTAACAGAATATATTGGGAAATGACATACTCCGTATGTTTTACTGCTGTTTAGTGCAAATTTGAACAAATTATGTTGAGCAGATGAGCTTTCTGATGTAATTATTATTTCCCCTGATTCATTATATCTTTGGATGATTTATTAGTTTTTGGATGATTTATTAGTGCAAATTTGAACAAATTATGTTGAGCAGATGAGCTTTCTGATGTAATTATTGATTTGTCTTTGGATGATTTATTAGTTTTTGGAACCATAGTTTATTAGCAACTTGACTAAATCATCTCATTACTTTTTTGCATGCATTTTTCATGTTATTTAATTTTAGATGATTCTAATAAATCATTCTGAGGTAACAGATAATGTAAGGTGGTTAAATATTTCTATAAAACATTTTATTCTTATTATAATGTTTTATTTCAAAAACAAAGTAAACACGTTTGTTATTTCAGTTCTATACATGTGCTTTATACTGATTTTCTACATAGCTGTCTTAACACTATGTTTGGTTCAAAAAATTCGGATGAAAAAAAAAAGAAATGGTTTTCTCTCATTTTCCTCACCAAAATGAGAGGAATTTTGTTTTCCCTCCTCTTAGTACATTTTGTCTTCTCATTTTTTTTTCCTTCCACTTTTCTTTTCTTTTCCTCTCTAACCAAACAAGAGAATTTCTTTTCCATCTCATTTTCTTTTCTTTCCGTTTTCAAAATCTTTGAACCAAAAATAATGTAAGTGTGTCTAATAATGTATTTCAATAAAATGAAACCAAAAGAGTAAATAAGAACAAATTTGTGATCTATTATATAAAAACACATGAGCTTTTAAAAATATTCAATTTAAGATATGGTAATCTGAGTTTGAAAATAAAGCATTATGTGGTAGTTTATGTTATAGCATTATATATATATATATATATATATATAAAAGATATGGTAATCTGAGTTTGAAAATAAAGCATTATGTGGTTCATTGGTTAATTTCATTGGTCAATTTTGGTTCCATTTATATTTTTTCTGGGATAATAATGGCATAGATAGACATCTTAAGTCATGTATTGCTTTGACAATTTATAGAGAGAATATAAGTTTGGAGAAGACAAGGTAAGAAGCAAGAAAAGTTCAATGTGTCATTTTGATATAGTATATTTTAGGGCCTCTTGGCAAATAGTTTCAATTCCATAATTATGTTTTTCATTTGTACATTGTGTCACGATTACAAGTATTTAATCACTGTGCTTCTTTTTCTTATGTAGCTTATGGAAACACATATTAATTTGCAATCTATGTTCTACAGATTTGTAGAAGGAATGACTCTGTCCTTTTCAAGGTATTCATGGTATTGTATCTGACATTTTACTTTGTCAAGATGGTGCCCCAATCTTCATTCAATTCGTCACTGAAACTCTGAAAGTTAGAAGTACGTTAAGATCATGTTTGGTGGAGGTGCATTTGGTTGAATGAGTATATAAACTGAATTTACTTATGTTTTGTCCTGAAATGTAGAGATTCAATTATTAATTGAACTGTCTAATTATCTATTTTTTAATTTTTTAATTTTAATTGTGAAAATGTATCTAAAATGTATTTCAAATAAAAGTAAACAACATATTAAGATGAGCATATAAATGTAATTTATCTTTACTGCAACAAAACAGTAATGTGTGCGCCACATCTTCATAAGTTGATTCAAGTAATGGACTAAAAAATAATACTATTTGGGTGAAAAAATTGGTTATAATTATAGTTTATGAATATCTAATACCCATTCTTAATCACTCCATTCCCACCCACATGGCTACACCCCACCAAAAAACACTAAATATCTAATTATATGTTTCCACTGTGTTGTGTTAGAATGAGCAAATGAAGCATTTGCCCCCTCACCTTAGGACTATAGTATCCAGCTCTACAAGATCAGATCAAGTTAATGCCATTATGCTTTGTGCTAATATAATTGGGCAAGTAATTTATGCCTTTTCGGAATGATTCTTCTATATAATCCACAAGTATAACGTATGGACATTGATATTGGTAACAATATTCATTTGAGTCTACATCATAATGCTATAGATGTGGAGTTAACAGGTTCTCCTAGGTGGAGAATGCTGTGAGCTCTCTCTCTCTAAAACAAGAAGCTTCAACCGTGAAATATATTTTATCCGAGATTATATAAACGGGTGGGAAGCACGAGGTAAATTAATAAAAATTTTGTTTGATCCCGTGCGTGGCACGGGTAGAAATACTAGTTCCATATAGGACAGAGTTAATAAACTTGCATTTACCAGCATAGGAAAGGTTCCTTGAAGCCCATGAGTTAATCTTGCAGTTTTCTCATTTGGTTTTTCTTATATAGAAAAAATAGAGTATTTCTGATATTAATTTAATATCAATATATTCCTATTGAAATGTAGTTTTAAAATACAGTATTAAATTTTTATAAAATATACAGAGTATCTAGGTATAGATATATATATATAATATTGGTGAAAGTAAAACATTGAAGATCGTGAAAAAGTGAAAAGAGAAGAACATTTTCGGACGGAGTGAGTAACCATTGTTTGCATGATTTGAACACTAATTAATTACTTATATATATCTAACATACATATTACTACTTTCCTATCGAAGTATTTGTTTAGTTTGACTTTTATTATTTAATTTCGATCATTTTTTAAAAAAATAAAAATTTCATGGTATATTAATTTGTAAAATATTTTCAATTTATTTTTGTATCGATATCTAATATTTCCTCATTTCCTCTCAAAACTCATTGTTTTGACTTTTTGAGGTTTTTAAAAAGAGTTAAAAAAAACGTAAAAGTTTATCAATATACGCCTAATGAAAATGGGTGGAGTCTATTAAATAATGTGGATAAGATGTACTCCGTAATAAAAAGTAAGGATAGTTGACTACTTGTACTATTTTGAATATTAAAAAAGGTAATGATAAGATTTATGAAAAACAAATAAATTTGGGGAATTATTATGATAAGTATTAAATTTATTTAATTGCGAAAAGCAAAAAACTTGAATTGGGCTTAGATTTGGAGAATTATTATGATAGCAACAGGCTTTGGTTGTTTGTTTGAGTGTGATTTTTAATTTATCTTAAAAGTATAAAGTTTGGATATTTGTAAATATTTGATATTTGCTTTGGTTTTTTCGAATATTCAATATGTAATATCTGAATATTAAGATACTAGATTGAATATCTATTTTTAGATTGAATTGGTTCAAATTGAACATATTTCTCTAGACAAATATCTTTGAACACTCCTGCACGATGGGAGTTGGGGGTTGCAGGGTACATGGCGGTGGAGGGGTCGGGTGACGGTGATGGGGGTTGGGCCATTGAGGTGTGGTTGGGGCTAGGGGTGTAAACGAACCGAATCGAAGCGAATGCCGATATATTTGAATTTGTATTTGTTTAATTTTTTTGAATACGAATACGAATCCGAATATGAGATGAATTCAAAATAAGATTTGAATAAGTATTTGATTAATATTCGAATAGTTATCGAATCATAAACGAATATTTAAATAATCATACTATATAATTTATATGATGGACCAACATCAATTTGTAATTTAACTTACGATACTCTTTATACTATACTATATTCCGTATATAAAAACATTAATACATTTGCATATTACACAAATTATATTTTATAAAATATAACTATTAAAAATCATATGCTTTAGATTTTCGTGTTACGTTAATTTATTAAATTCTTAGTATTTTAAATACACTTTATACTATATTACTTTGCTTGACTTTTGATGTTGAAAACATGGTCTGTGTATATATACATATATTCGAATATTCGAATATCATCCGAATCGAATATATCCCAATTTGTATTTGTATTTGATTAATATTCGAATCAAAAATAATATTTGAATTTAAATTTGTATTTGAATAACGCGAATTCGAATCATCATATTCGAATACAAATCGCGAATCAAATTTAAAATATTTAATTTGTTTACATCCCTAGTTGGGGCAGAGACTGGAGATGGGGTGGTGGTTTGGGCCGATTGCATGGTTTGAGTATGATTTTTTTTCCGGAATGAAATAGAAATTATTTTTCTCCTTAATGAAAATAAAAATATTTTCATAATACTTATGTTACCAAACAAGAGAAGATAGAATTTAAAATTTCAAAGTAAATACTTTCTCCCAACCAAAGAATTTTAAATTCTTTTTTTTCCTAAATCAATGTTCTCTTATTTTCTAGTAAAAAGAAACATATTTTTATACTCATTTTATTTTGTGTCTTCCATATATATTAAATCATATCCAACAATACCTTCTAATATCAATTCTATGTATTTTGTTTACTAATTTGTACCATAAAATGATAAAAAAGTTATTTTAAAAATTAAAGCTAATTACGAATAAAATTCCCAACCGAAGTCATTACATTGGACTATTGGAGTATTGGACCAAAAGAATTATCCAAACAAACGCTCTCTAAGCGCGGCTGCGCGGGAAAAGATTTTGGCGCCTTAAAACCCTAAACAACGAAGATCCGGAATCGACATTTCTCGCATTCATCCATTTTCACCCTCAGCAAAATCTTAAACAACCCACAAAAAATTTGATCTTTCTGATCTCGAAGAAACGCAGGTCGATCTGCCCAGATTGAGAAGAAGTTTGGCTTTGAAATGGAAGGATTAACCGCTATCTGCGTGGGTCTTGGAGAAATCGAGGAAGGCGAAGATGGGAATGCTATCGGCTATGATACAGGAGAACACTGCTCAGGTGACTGAAATTATGATTCTCTCATTCAATTGGATCGACTCTCTGTTCGAGTGCATTTGGGCGTTGTTTCAGTCGATTTTCCGAATATTGACTTTTCTTGATCTGATTTACTGTCATATTTACACCTCTTTTTGTATGCTGTTTCAATCATTGTCCAGTGAAACCGATTATGTTTCAGTAGGCGTAGTTTGATCGTTTTTTGAAATGGGAGGTATGTGATGTCCTTTTTTTAATTGATTTTTGGCAGAAAATTTGAAGGATTTACTAAGGTTTCTGAGGCGAGATGACCCACAGACAAGAGAAGTATTCAAGCAAGTTTGTAAATGGAACATTGTAGGGAAACAATTGCTCCCTATTATAGAGTATTGCCATGAAGATCGTAATTTGGTGCTAAGTACTGGTAATTTGCTCAGCTTAAAGAGCTATCCTTGTTTGTGTGTGTTTTTTAAAATTTTATTTCACTGAATCTCTTACCATTGCAGTCAAGGTCCTGGTACTTTTAACCATGCCAATTGAGTTCTCATCAATTGACATACCCCAGCAGTTGGAAGACCTTTGGGCGATAAAGTCTTCCATTACTCATAGCGAAGTTGTGCCAGTGATCATGTCTCTCTTGGAAAGCCCTTTAGAAAATCTTGAATGGTAACCAGAAATATATTCTCCAATGGCTCGTATTTTACTTCTATGCATGTGTGTGAAGTGTGAACAGCTATTATTTCCAGACATATCAAGCATGCGGATGTTCTTCTTTTTTCCAGACAAATGCCTAAGCTAATATTCTACGAATGGTTTCATGTCAAAGTTTGACTCATTTAAATCAGATGGCATTGTTAAAAAAATCACCGCTTATATCATCTTTTGTCGAGTATAAAAGTGCATGATTGAATACGGTGCTTTTTTTATCAAATGATTGAATTTGTTTCTTCCCTTCCATAGAACTCACTTATTCTTTTAATTTTTTATTGTCTTTTAATGCAAACATTCAAATTGATTTTGATGTTGTTTGATTTATAACCAGTGAATCCTTCACTGAGGATGACTGGAAACTTGTTCAGCTGGTGGTTACATTATTTCGCAACATTTTAGCAATTCAAGATATTTCACCACATCAAAAAGCTGGCGGGGCATCTACCTTGCAATTCACGTACCTAAGAGACAAGTTTTTGGAACTTTTATTTCGAGAGAACGTAATGGATGTGATCTTAGTTTTGTCACAGCATGTGGGTGGCAGTTGTAGATATCTCCAACACGATAACCTCCTCGTGCTGGAAACTTTTTACTACATATTTATTGGTCAAGAGCCAGAGTTGATTGCAAAAGCTTATTCGAAGTGTTCAAAGGTTGGTATTATTTTTACCATAACACTATCCAAACCAACAAGGAGTTTATTATGGAATAAGGCTGAACTCATTGAATTTTAGGGACATTCTATAGATTGGGGGTACACTGCAGATTTCCACCAGTACTTGTTTTCACCGGCGTGAAAACTGGAAATATTTTTTTTTATCAAGAAGTATACAAGACAATTGCATTAAAAATGATTGAGGTGAACATGCATTGTCCATAAAAAATAAATCTCTTTTTTTGTCTTCTCTTTTTTTTGTGAGATGCATCATGCGTCTCAAGAAATACACAGAACAACTGTATTTCCTTTAAACAATTTTCCAGGTTTCTCCACAATTTTAAATATGAAATATTGAGCATTATACACGGATTATATAGTTGCATTCTTCATTTGTGTCTTAATTGAATGTTCTCAGTTCAGTAATAACAGAACTGGATTCAATAATCTTTCCCGAGTTCCAATCTTTGCTACAATAACTGAAAGTTTATGTGCTGCTGCTGACATTAATTTTTAACATCGAATAATTTTCCTTGCTGTTAAAATTGTGTTTACTTACTATGTTTTTTTCCGTTAGGTGGATGAAGTTGTTGTAAGTTCAGTTAACACTCTCACAGAGATTATGCAAGAGGAACGTGAAAAGAGAAGGCTCATCCGTCAACGGAATCTAGGTTGCTATTCTCAGTTTGGCGGAACATTCACACGGCTTTCCTTGGTATGCTACTGCTAACTCTATGCATAACATGGCCATAGATTGATATGTATTCATGTCAGCACTAAACACTTGACAGGATGGCTCAAAAACATTATTGAAAGGGAATCCTTTGGTTTCTCATGATGCTCGGCTTAAAGTTCATAAAAATCACCGAGGTCCAATGAAAAGAACGGCGTGGGACCAGGGCAGATTACCATCAACCAATCATAAGATTTTAGAGCTACTATATGATTTCATTAACCAATTCTTAGAAGGGGGATACAACGGTAGACTTCCTGATTACTGATAATGTTCATTGTTCCAATGTTAATTTCTATGGCACTGATGAACACATTTCAAATTCAGTTTTGATGGAGTCAGTGAGGGAAGATATTGAGAAAGAACATCACTCCATTCAGAACAGTGATGTACTTGTATTCATTCAAGTTGCACAATTTGTTGTTTCTTTTCAGTACCACAAATTTTCAAATAAGGTGACATATCTATTCAAGTTTTTTCTTTTTTCCTATGATATATCATTTGTAATTATTCATCCACACATATGATTTCTTTTTGCTTGTCCGCAGCCTAATGCTGGAGCTCATACCAATTCACCAGTCAATTGTCATTCCGATGACACTTTGTTTCCGGGCTCTATATGTGGTCCAATTGCCGAAACACTAAATGAGTCAATGTTCCAACTGGTTAATCATAAGTGGCGATATGCCTTTGACACACTGAAGGAAACAAATGACTGTAAATTTCTTTCTGCTGCCGGATCCTTCATGAAAACTATGGTGAATACACTTTTATCTATTTGATTGACAACACATTACAGAGAGAAAGGACATTTAGCCCCACTATGCATAATTCGACTCTTAGTGTCTGACCATTGATACAATAGCAATCATATTCTTCGTGGATTAGATTTTCCAGTTTTGTTCATGTGTAATGAACTTCGTGTTATACAGAATGTCTTCCAATTGGGAAAGATACAATTATTAAGGAAAAGAGCATATTATTTCCGTTCTGGACACGTTTAACTAGCACAGTTTTGCAAACCAATGCTCTGAATATTCCTTGACTGAGCTAATTGTTGTTTGAACAGCTTCTCATGCTGGATTTGGTCCTTAAGCAGTCCCCAGACGATTCCAATGAAAACCAAACTACTCGTATCCTTCTGTACAAGTTATTCTATGACCAGACTGATGAAGGAATGACTCAGTTTATCTTGAACCAGATCAAATCATTTGATACCCATAAGCAAGCAAAAAGGTTTGCATTTTTTTCTTGTTAAAGGAACTAACTCAAAGAAAAAAAAACTTTCAATTATATCTTCTCTTCGCAATCATAATATCTGCAGTTTCTTTGTATAAAGAAAGCAGGACTATTATTTTACAAATACAAGAAAGTTTTGCTCAAAACAATGTTTTATTTGCTCCATTTCAAGGATAATAGAATAAAGACTTTTGGATTGGTATATCCCATTTCTTATTGTTGGACTTTTTTCCTTGCAGTTACCTTGCTGATTTGTTAGAAGCTATGAGTATTGTTCTCCAGCTCATGGAGAAGCTTCAAGCATGCGGCATGCTAAGGGTATTTTCTGAATTTCAATTATAATTTTTCTGAAGTCCTATTTTCTAACCTAACAATTTGTTTATCTATGAAATTTACATTGCTTATAATCTGCAAGACTATGAACTAAGTGGAAGCATGGGACCATTTTTTGATTTGCCATGATTTCCTAAATCCTACTTAGGTGGAAATTGGTCATTGATCAAGATCTACTTTCAGAGTCTCAGGGAAAAAGTAGGGGATAAGATGGTGCTAGTATGGTAGATTTCCATTCGAAAATCATCTCAGCCATTGCTATGCCAAGAAACTAGTTTGGAAGAACCTGCGATACTTTAGTATATATGTTTCATAACTTTCATCTTCCTATGTTATTCAATCTGAAACATATTTCTACAATTTGAGTTCCTTTTATTTCAATCTATGATATGCAAGTAACTATATTTTTATGATAAAGGTTTCAAAGAAGTTGAGGAAGAAACAGAAGAAAAAAACAATGATGGATGATGAGAAAGTAAATCATGGTAACATATTCCCAGATAAAACTACAGTTCAAAATGATCAAGAGGGATCTGACGGTGAAAAGGGAACATTTGCATATCCGGACATGCAAGGAGATAATTCCATTCCATCTCAGGTTGATGAACCTATGGTATTGGGTGTGAATAACACAAATATTGATGACCATGAAGAAACGCCTGAAAATTTTAATGCTGTCCAGAAAGACATTGATGGCTTCAGCAATGAGAGACCAATGAATATTGATGTTGTGAATGTTGATGATGAATCTTCAGAACATAAAAGAACTTCTGAAAGCTTCCATGATTTAAATAATGACACCAACAACCAGTCTGGTGAGGAGGAGGATGTGATGACAGGTGAAGTTGATCTGAAAGTTTCTGCTTTGGTTTCTGCTCTTGCAAGCAACTCTATTGTGCAGAATCTCTGTTGGCTGTTGAAGTTCTATAAGACAAACTCTATTATTACAAATGATTCTATCGTACGCATGCTGCAGAGGATCTGTGATGATTTGGAACTTTCTCCTATGTTGTATCAGGTGCCTAAACAGTTTAATGTCTTGATATTATTGCTCTTTTTCCCAAAAAAGAAACTGCTATAGAATTAGTTAAACCAACAAAAAAAAAATTAAAATATAGCTAGCATTTAGAATTTTCCACAGTTGTACCTGGTGAAACATCACAAGTCTTTGTGCTGGTGGTAGTATTTTTTTGTGTTTTTGTTCTTTGGAGGATAGACCTCAAGGTATCTCACATTCATCCTTCTCTGGTTGGGATTGCAGTTATCTCTTCTCACAATATTCTACAATATTCTGGAGGAGCAGAATTTAAGGCCATGCAAAGAGTATGAGAGTATTGTCGGCTTCCTTACTGCTTTAGTAAGAAGAATGCTGCGGAAAATGAAGAGTTGTCCTCTACTTTTTATAGAGGTCCTCTTTTGGAAAACACGCAGCGAATGCTTTTATATCAATTGTGAATCTATGCTTAACGATCTCTCTAGTATAAAGAAAAGCAACAAAAAAGGGAGTTTTATTGGAGAAGGTGAACTCCATTCATCCGATAGGCAAGGATGGAACAGCAGAAGTATAGCCGATGCACTTGGTGATGATGAAGCGGACTTTGTATTATCGCATGGAGATTTTGTAAGGTAACATGTTTGGCAACTATGGTATATTCTTGCAAGTTTCAACACATTGTATTTTGAACATTCTGAACTACACTGCTCTTACTTTGATAAGGATATTAGCTGCTATTAATGGTGGCCCATTTGGCAAGAGATTTTTTATCTGAAATGCCTGAACTTTCTTAATTTCATGTAGGGAAAATTGTTTTCTAACATGCATTTCAGCCAAAATAAGTAGTCCAAAAGCTATTTTATGCTTATTCATCTGATAGCGTTAAGTCAATTCTACTACCAAACAGAGACTTGAACTCTGTTCTTACAAGCTGTCTTTCTAATGTGATGCTCTCTATTAAGGGACAAGGCACATGGTGGGGAAGGAGGTAGCAATCAAAATCTTGGTGAAGAGGAGGAACATAACTTTGAATCCATCTCAGATGAGGAACATTGTGAAACTAGAAAGTTTGACAAGTACGTCTTTAAGTAGTGGTGCTCTCTTAATATTCCCCCATTTATTATTGTCTTGGGCATGTCCTCTATTTATATTTTTTTATATGTAGAGAGGATCACTTTGTTGAAAAAGAGGTTGAAAGGGTGCGAAAAAGAAGAAAACTATCAGTCCTTGGCAATGAGCTGAAAGAAAAAGTGAAGGAACTTTATGAGAAGTAAGTGTTTACCCATTTGCAGTATGTTGTCAAAAAAATTCTTCATTCATTTCTTAACAGCATTGTAGCATACTAATATGTTAGCTATGTTATTCATGTGAAATGTTATTGATTGCATCAGGTGTGTGTCACTGTCATAGTACACCACCTTGTAATGTGGACCAATGCTACGAACTCAAAAGTAAACTACAGGGGTCATTTTGGAACTAGGAAAATGCTACCAAAAGAAAATCTGGATCAAATTATAAGGGAAATTTTGAGTGAAAGAAAGTGAGGGAAAATAAAGCATTGGTTCAAACAGAATATAGTTGTTCTTTATATTTATTCAAACACATTTATTCCTTTTTCTCTATTTTATTATAAAGACAGAAATCTAAACATCTGTGATCTTTTTAAAACATATTAATCATGTTTCATTTTACTTTGCATTTTCAAGGTGAAATCAAACACAAGAAAATAAATTGCATTAGCATTATTCCCATTTCCCCAGTTTTGTCTGTGATCCAAACATGCACCCAAAGTGTCTTCATGGGCATTTACTAGTTGAGTAATGCTAGGGGTACACCATTCTTTCTCATCATACATTTTTTTTTAATATATTTATTAATTTTTTTTAAATCAACACTTAATTGTGTGGTGGTGAGGCTTTGGGGTACACATTTTGGTGTACCCCTAGCATTTTTGTTACTAGTTAACGTTTTTTCCCCGGGTGAATCTGGCATGCACAGATATAAAGATCAACAACATTGTGATCGTCTCATTGCTGAAGCCCTTGATCCAGATGGGAAGGTTTCACCACTTCAAGTATCCAAAGCACTTAAACATCTTGGATTAAAGATTCCACGAAAGAAGAGAACACCAAGTACTACCCATGTTGCCAATCAATTTGGGCCTCCACAATTGGAGGAATCTTCAGTACGGACTATGTAAGTTTCTTCAACAAGTTTGTTTGCTTTACCTCTATGTTTTATGTATTTGATTGAGTTTCTTGCATCTTTCTTTGGCCACTAAAATTTTTCAGAAACACGAGAAAGAGGGTGCAAGCATTCAGTGAAGAGCAGGAGCAGAAAATCAAAGCTTTATTTGAGCAGTAAGTTTTATAGTCAATGGGTACTTGTCTATTTCATTTTATTGGATGTTCATGTAGTTTTGGTTTGATGCCAAAGGTTCAAAGCTCAAAAGAGGTGCAGCCAGATGATAGCCAATGCATTGGGTCCCGAGGGAACTTTCACAGCAGCAAAGGTTACACGCAAACTCAAACAGCTCGGCTTGCTTGTTCCCAAAA